AGGAAACAGAGAAAGAAAAAACAAATCCAGACACATTCAGCTATCTGATCTTTAACAAGGGGGCCAAAAACACACTAAAGGAAAGATAGCTTCTTTAATAAATGGTGCTAGGAAAATTGAATATTCAAATGCAGAAGAATGAGTCTAGACCCATATTCTCATCATGTACTAAAGTGAACTAAAAAGGTTAAAGATCTAAACAGTAAAACAGAAATACTTCATCTGCTAGAAGATAAACTAGGTAAAACTCTTGAAGACACAGGAACTATTAATTGCCATTGTTTCTATCATGGCAGTTATGATACTGGTTTATTACATTCTATCCACAACCTTAAATGCTTCTGTGCAGCTTTTTCTTTCCTCAGATGATCATGATTATGACACAATAGAAAGGTGAAGAAGATCTTGCAGTGTAATTGACTATGGACAGAACTGGAGAATACTTAAGTGGCGGAGATGTGGATTACTAACCCTTCTGGAACTGGCCAAACTCTTGCAAGTGAGAGAATGACCAGAAGAAAGGGGAGGACAGACTGAATGTTCAGATGGACAGGGGCCAGACTATAAATGACAATGGAACTTGACTAACAGTGTCTGCAGCTGTCAGCCTAGAATGCTCAGGATCTGGTCATGCTGGCCAGCTCTTCCATTTTTTGTTTTTGTCCCTTAGCACGTGCCAGAGATTTCAGGGACTCATCTCCTAGTGTACGCATCTTTATATTTTAAATGCATAAAATATAAAATGTATGATTATTCTCACAGTGGTACTCAAAGTGGGTCTTCTCAAAATAAAAATAAACTAATTTAGTAAAATTATACATACACACAAAGTGGTAGAAACAATTGAAGATCCTTCAAATGAGAATAGAGACTAATTTATTCAGAGTTTGCTATAACAAGGATTTCAGCCATCATCACTTGATTTGGAAGACTCAAAGGAAGGCAAGGGTCAGGGATACAGCTCAGTGGTAGTGTGCTTGTTTAGCATGCAAGAGACTGCTAGGTTTGATCTCCAGCATATAAAATGGAAAGCAGGAAGTCAAGGGAGTAAGCACACTTTACAGTCAAATAAAGGGGAATCTCCAGGAATTCTTTCAGATGTTTGTATGGGAAAACTGGAAGCTGATAATGAGCAGCAGGATATCACATATGCAAAGCATACAATGGAATATTTTCACATATGTATAATCACTTATGTTATACATACACATAACCATTAAACCATAAACACAATAAGAAATATCACACTTCACATTTTTCTTTATCCTTTAAGTTTATCTCCCCTACTCTTCTTGCCCACTATTCTGTTCCAAAGCAGCTACTCATTTGGTGTCGCTCTATATTAGTGTTCATTTTCTACAGTTTTATATAAATGGAACCATACAGCACGTATTCTGTTTTTTGTTTGGTTTCTTTCACTTAACATGATCATTCTGAGGTTCATCCATGCTGTTGTATCAATAGTTTATTATTTTTTATTACTGAATAGTGTTACCTTGTAGAGATATACAGCAACATATTTTTCCATTCATCTGTTGATGAGTTTTTGGAATGGGGTAACAGTATTTGGGGTTTAGAAATAAAGCTGCTATAGACATGAATATATGAGGCCTTGTAAAGCATGTATTTTCTTATCTACTCAGTAAAGACCTAGGCTTGAAATGCATTAACAGTATGTTTTAAATTTATAAGAGCCTGATAAACTATTTTACAGAGTTGTGAACATGTTTCATTCTTACCAGCTGTGTATGAGAGCTCAAGTTTCTCTGATTTTGAGACAGGGTCTTGCTAAGGTGCTCAGGCTAGCTTTGAATTTTTGATTCTCCTGCCTCAGCTGCTCAAGTAGCTAGAATTACAGCTGCTTGCGAGTTGTTTATATATACTTTTATATAAGTCCTTTACTTGATATATATTTAGCAAAGACTTTCATCTAATCTGTGACTTTTTTGTTTGCTTAATAAGTAATGTAGAGAGAATTTTCTCGTAAACAATCTGGTACTGTAGTTTTAAATTTTGATTAAATCTAATTTATTGATTTATTATTCTGTGGATTGTACTGGCATCATGGCTAAGAAATTCACAGGTTTTCTTCAATATTTTCTTCTAGAAATTTTATGGTTTTAGATTTTATATTTAGCCCTGTGACCTATAATATCTTGTATATGTTATGGGATACAGATACACTATTTTTCACACTGACAACCAATTACTCCAGCAGTAGTTATTGAAAAAACTATCATTTCTCCACTATATTACTTCTGTGCCATTGTGAAAATTCAGTTGTCCACATATGACTGAATGTAATTCTGAACTCTATTTTGTGTGATTTAGATATTTGCCTATCTTTTGATTATTGTAAACTTTATAAGTCTTGAGATCAGACTGTAGAATTTTGATGTGGATTACTTGCATTTATAAATCAGTTGGGATGAGGAATATCTAAGAATATGGACTCTTCCAATCCATGAATAAGATATGTCTCTACAAATTTAAATATTTAAAAATTTCTCTCAGTAATATTTTAGAGTTTTCAGTATACAAGACTTTAATGTCTCTTGTCAGAATTACACTTAAATGTTTAATATTTTTATGCCTTTATAAAAAGCACTTAAGATTTCCATTTCTGATAGTTCATTCCTAATATGAGGAAATACACTCAATGTTTGTATATTCATCTAGTATCCAGCAACTTTCCTAAATTTGCTTACTGGCTCTAATGGTAATTTTCTTTCTTTTTTCAGATTAAATCGAATTTTTTACATAGAAAAGTATGTCATCTGGGAGTAGACAGTTTTCATTTTTGCTGTGCCATCTTGATACCTTTTATTTATTTTTCTTGCCGAATGGCACCGACAAGAATCCCCAGTAGAATGCTGAATAGATATATTAATACTGGACATCTTACTCTTTTTGTGATCTGACAAGGATAGCACCTAGTCTTTCTCCATTGTGTATGATGTTAAATGTAGACTTCTGTAGATGTGTTTAGTCAGGTTGATGAATTGCTTTGCTCTTCCTAGTTAATTGAGAGCTCTTATTAATAATAGATACTGTATTTTGTCAAATGCTTTTTCTGCATCTATTGAAATGAGTATGTCTGTATCTAAGTCAACCAGTGAATCCATGTAGTTCTTAATATGGTGAATTACATTTATTAATTGTCAAAACAAGTCCACTTATTTATAGTGGATTTTTAAAATATATTGTTATATTCATTTTATTACAATTTTGCTAAGAAGTTTTGCATCTCTCTTCATGAGGGATATTTATCGGTGGTTTTCTTTAGTTCTTCTCTCTGATTTAGACAATGGGTTAATTGTAAGGACTTAGGAAGTATCCGTCTTTAATATTTTTGCAACTTTTTGCAAAATTGGTAATATTTTTCTATCAATATTTGGTAGAATTTTCTAGTAAAGCATCTGGTACTGTAGTTCTTTTGAGGGAAAGTTCTTAACTATAACTTTAATTTTTTTATTTTTAAATTTTAATCTACTTTTTTAAAATTTGCTCTTTTTTTCTAATTTCTAAAGATAGAATTTGAGCTTTTTTATTTTCTAATATAGGTGTTTAGCTTGGATATATTGCATTTTCATTTTCATGTAGTTTAATGTATATTGTTTTCTGTTTTCATTTCTCATCATGACTGTCTTAGTCTGTAACAAAATACTGGGTAATTTAAAAATAACATAAATTTATTTCTCAGCTCTGGAGGCTGGGAAGTCCATGATTAAAGCACCAGCAAATTCAGAATCTGGTTGCTGTGTTCTCACATAGTAGAAAGGGTAAATGCTGTGTATTTACATAGAGGTGAATAAAAGGCCAAAGGGTCAAACAGGCTCCTTCAAATTCTTCTAGAAAAGGACCAGTGGCAGTCACTAGAGGTAGAGCCCTCAAGAGCTACAGTAAATTACCTAATAAAGATTTCACCTCTTAATGCTCTCAGGTTGGTTGTTACGTTTCCACATACGAATTTCTGGGGGACACATTCAGACTCTAGCAATGGCTTATTTAGAAGTGCTGGTTTTCCTCCACATTTTGAGGGATTTTTTTTTTTTTCCAGTACCGTCAATTGAACCCAGGTCCTCGTGCTTGCCAGGCAGGTGCTGTATCGCTGCGCTACGTCCCCGGCACTGAGGGAACTTTTAAAGTAATCATTTTGATATTTATTTCTAATTTAATTATATTGTAGTCAGAGAACATATCTTGTATGATTTGAATCCTTTTGAATTTACTGAAACTCCTTTTATAGTCCAGATTATTGCCTATATCCTAAACATTTTGTATACAATTAAGAAGCACGTGCTATTCTGCCAATTGTTGCAGGAATATTCTACAAGGTATGATAAAAAATATAGTGAGTGTTTAAATTTTTAAAAATTCTTACAGAAAACATGTACTGCCATTAATCCTCCTCAAATTATCTTTCCCCTACTTCCACTATACTTATCATTCTTGCTACTTTGTGAAGCAGTTCGGAAAGTCTTTCATGAGTGCCATTAGTTGCGTTGTTGTCAATCCCTTGATGTTCTGAATTGATTCAAAACGTCTACCTTTCATGGTCATTTTGACTTTGCGAAAAAGCCAGAAGTCATGTAGTGCCAGATCCAATGAAAAAGGTGTATTAGGACACATCACGTTTTTCACAAGAGTACTTTTCCATTGTATGGCACAGGGCAGCAGCATTTACTGTATTTTTGATCATACCTCATAAAGCTACTCATAAAAGAGGTCTTTCTGAACTACTTCAACATGTGGCTACTTCATAAAAGTGGTAAGAATGAATTGATAAGCGTGTCCAAAACGAAGGAGAGTATTTCGATGGGGACTAATGGGCACTGGCTGATGTTACGTGCCTATCCAGCAATACTTTGCCGGAAAACTGGAGCTCACCATGCAAAAGCAAAAAACAGCGCCAGTCTTTGGAAGACACCTGCGCAGTGAGCTCGCCGGAAATACGCCAAGGCGTGGGGGGCGGAGCTCCAGTAACCTGGCAACAGACCGGAAGCTGTGGACTGAGTTAGCCTGTGGCGGGCTTCGCAGTTCTGGACCCTGAAATTTCAGTCCCAGTGGAGGCAGCAGCCGGAAGTCCCCCAGGCAGGTTGAGATACGCAGCAGAGGTCTGCAGGCCCCAGGCTCAGCGAGCTTCAGAGACTGGGTGCTACTTCCAGGGCGGGGAGGACGGAGCTGGCATCGCTCTGCCCTCTGGGGACCCGGGCGCCGGGTCAGGGACCCTTCCCAGCCGAGACCTCAGGGAGGCTCCGTGGTTTTCCAGGGGTGCGTTTCAGAGCGACGGTCCCGCGCGCTGTGTGCGGGAGCCCCTCTGGGTGCACAGGCGCACGGCTCTCGCACGCTTTGCACGGAGCTGGAAGCGGGGGGTGCTGGATCCTCCCCTGCAGCCGGGTCACTGCTTGGCAGGAGAGAGACCGAGCCCGCGCACGCTGGATAGGCGCGATCAGTTTTAACTCCCCGGACGTCTGCAAGGCGTTCCTCAGCAGGAGCCGCCTGGAGAGCTGGGAGGAGAGTGGGAGTAAAGCGGGTGGAAAAGTGGGTGAAAGTCGGAGGAGGGGTGCAAGCGGAGGGAGGAGAATAGTTGGACCTGTAGGCGAGGGCGAGAGCCTGGTGTTGGTGGGAGACTGAGAAAAGACTGGGACGATCCGTGGGGCCGTAAGGGGTAGGGCGAGCTCTGAAGTTGTGCTCTTCTCTACAGTGGGGCGCCGGTAAAATCTTCTGAGGAAGGAAGTAAAAGCTTGAGACCTACGCTCATGGAGACCTTGTCCGGGCAGAATTGATGGAAAGGACGGTGTTTGGAAAGAGCCCTTGTTTTTCCTGTTGATTAGTTCCTCCATCTAGCCAGGGTGGATTTGCTAAACTCCCTGCTCCAGGTCCTTCAGTAGCTTTGAGGGCCTGGAGAATCGTGTTCAATTTGCTGTGGCTCACAAGACCATCGTCCTCCCATTCCCTTTTTTTTGTTTGTTTGTTTGTTTGTTTTTTAGCTTCTTTCTTAGCCTGTTCCCGCGTCAAGTCAAACTGAACTTCTCAAACTGCATGCCCTCTCCCTTGCCTGGAACATGCTTTCTGCCCCACGCCTAACTTTTATTCATGCTTTAGCTTTCAGCTTAAACATGTTTCAGAGAATTAGGACGAGGAGACAGACTTTTATTCATTGCATAGGATAAGGTCATTCCATGGCACATGGAATTGTTGCTTTTTTATTGTGATTTGTTTAATTGTAGTCCTATGACAAACTCAAACTCTATCAGGCCGTAGGCAGTTCTACTTTCTTGCTATATTTGGTGCCTGGCTCTTAGCAAGTACTTTAAAAATATTTGTTGAGTTAATAGATGGATGAAGTGAGTGAGTGAATGAGTGAAAGAGAAATCGATTAGAAGTGGTGAGAGTCTGGACAAAAAGACACCTGGTAGAGACAGAGAAGAGTGGACAGATACGTTAGGGTTAGGTATTCCCTGCCATTAAGTATTCTTTTCAATGTAACTCTAAAGGATGCATAATTTGTTGTATAGATTAACTGACAGTTTGCCATTCTTTGTTTCTGCAAAGTGGAGATCTAAGTGGTTAAAGATCTGAATGGTTAAAATAGGTTCCTTTCTTTGAACTACTATATTTCTGATATCTTTTAAATTCAGCCGTATTGGTAGCTGGAATAGGTGTATTGTTGATGTCTGTGGTATATTGAAAGGAACAGTCAGTGTTTATAATTTTCTTTTTCCTTGACCAGTTTTGCGCGCTTGAGTTTGGTAATCAGAATGACTGATCTGAAAACAGTATGCAGTATAAGAACCACTGGTGAACTCCTACCGTCTTGTATGGTGAAGCTCTGCATCATTTCCAATGTGTTATTTATTTTTATTTATATATATTTTTTACTTGTTACTGTCTTTGTTTGTTTGATCAGTCTGACATTCTTATGTCTAGGACTGAACAACTTCGTTGAAGATAACAGTATGTAATGTAGCAACCATTGTAAATTCCTATCATTTTGTTTTGAGGTCATGCATCATTTTTGTTGTTTTTGTATTGTTTTGATTTTTGTCTTCATTATTGTGTCAGTTTTTAATTTTTAAAATAAAAAAAATTCAGCCTTACTGAGATACAATTTACATACTATAAAATTTATTCTCTTAAAGAAAACAATTCAGGTGGTTTTAGTATATCCACAGTTTTACAACCATTGTTACTATCTAATTCCAGAACAGAAAGAAACCACGAAAGAAACCGTGTAGGCACAGAAGTCATTTTCTGTTTTCTTCTCCCTCCATAGTTGGCTAGACTAATCTACTTTATGTCTCTATGGGTTTGCCTATTCTGGACATAATATAAATGACATCATGCAACTCTGTGGCCTTTTCTGTTTAGCTTTTCTCAGAGTTTAATATTTTCAAAATTCACCCATGTTGTAGCATATATCATTACTTCATACATTATTACTGTCAAATAATATTCCATTGTATGGCTGTATCACATTATTTATATCTTCAGTTGGTGGACATTTTTGATATTTCCATTTTTTTGTCTGTTAAACATGATATTGCTATGAACATTCATGTACAGGTTTTTGTGTGGACTTACGTTTAAATTCTTTTGGAATATACCTAGGAGTAGAATTGCTAGGTCATGTGGTTAATTGTGTTTCATGTTTTTGGGGAACTGGCAAACTGTTTTCCAAAGTGCCTGTACCATTTTACATTTCCATCCGCAACTATAAGAGGATTCCAGTTGCTGCACATTCTTGTCACTGCTTGATATTGTCTGTCTCTTATTACAGCTGTCCTAAAGGGTGTGCGGCGCTGTCTTGTTGTGGTTTTGGTTGGTATTTCCCTAATGATGCTGGGCATCTTTTCATGTGCTTATTGGTCATCTCTAGTGTTGTACTTGTGGAAATGTGTATTCAAACCCTTTGGCCATTTTTTGTTTGTTTGTTTTATTATAAATCATTATTTACTTAGGTTGGTAGTTTTGAGACAGAGTCTCACTTTCTTTCAGGTGTTCAGAGTCTCACTACTTTAGAAGTAGTCCAGGCTACTTCTAAACTTGCTGTGTATCTCAGGCTGGCCTATTACTCGCTCTCCTCCTGGGGTTTTTTTTTTTGGTACTGGGAATTGAACTCATGACCTCGCGCTTGCCAGGCAGGTGCTGTGTCACTGAGCTAAATCCCCAGCCCCTGCTGTGCCCGTTTCTAAATTGGATGTTTTGAGAGTTGAGTTGTAAGAATTCTGGATATATTGTGGATATAAATCCTTGATCAGCTGTATGATTTACAAATATTGTCTCCTATTCTATCGGTTGTCTTTTCATTTTCTTAATTGTACCTTTGAACATAAAATTTTAACATTTTGATCAACTCCAATTTATGTTTTTCTTTGGTTGCTTGTGCTTTTAGTGCCATATCTAAGAAACCATTACTTAACTTGAGGTTCATAAATATTTATGTTTATGTTTTCTTCTAAGAGTTATAGATTTGGTCTTACATTTAAATATAATTAACTTTAAACCAGTTTTGTATATGATATGAAGTAGGAGTCTAACTTCAGTCTTTTTCATATGAATATCCAGTTGTCCCTGCACCATTCATAGAAAAGACGGTTCTTTCTCCATTGAATTGTTTTGATATCCTTGTTGGAAAGTAAACCAACCATAAATGAAATGATATGTTTTAGCTTCTTATTTCTATTCTATCCTATATCTTTTAAAATGGTGTTTATGTCTCTGCTACCTACTGTGTGAACTTCACATTGTTTAATTCTTTCCCCTTTAGTTTTTTCATCTCTAAGCTCAGTACTAAGTATCTCATGGAGTTATCAGGCAGATTAAAGAAGGTAATGTGTGTAAAGAGCCTAGAACAGTACCTAGCTTACAGTAGGCACTCATAATAAAAAACTGTGGTAGCTGATGCCGTTATCCACCCTGCCTCAACTATCATTATCATCAGTGTCATAAAATTTAATTGTTTAATTTAATTGTTTAGTTTAATCCAGTTGTAGATCAGTGGAAAGGTACTTGCCTAGAATAAGTAAGGCCCTGGATCCACCCACAGCACTGCAAACAAACAAAACCCAGTTGCCACACTCTAACTTGGATGTGACTTACCTCCTTTGCTGTACTGTAAATTCTGAAATTGGATACTATATTCAAAGAGTGAATGTGTACTAGGTGTGGTGGTGCACGCCTGTGATGACAACACTTAGGCTGAGGCAGGAGGATTGCTGTGAGTTCGAGGCCATTCTGGGCTACATAGTGAGTTCAAGGCCAGCTTGATCGCCAAAAAACAAAGAGTGAATGTGACTGATGAGAGAGTATAGAGAACAATGGAGATTGACAGCAAATTCTTGAGAAATATACCTATGCTTACCTAAGCATCTTTATTACAGTAGACTAAATTTTTTTTTAATCAGGAAAATGTTTGACTAAATTGAGAGTAAGGGGATTAACTGAAAAGTTCTGTAATTATTTCTGTAGGTAGAGCATCTAAGAATAGCATTTTTTAAAAAACTACATATATTGTAAAATTGTGGTGTTCAGGTTCTATATGTCTTTCTCTGACTTTCTATAGTGTTTAGTTCAGTGTCCTTACCGTAGTTGTTTTAAGAGTGTCAAGCTAATTTTGATAATTTACAAATTCTCATTTAAAAACAGTAATCCCCTCCTTTTAGCATCATTTGGAAGTGTGATATCCTGCCTCATGCGTTCACTGATGTTTAGCTGCCTTTAAGGGAAGCACATAGGTAGCTGTAGTGGTTTGGAATGTTGGAGTACATAGAAAATGAAGCTAATTCTCTTCGCCCTCCCCTTTCTTTCTCTTTGTATCCATATTGTTAGTATGTGACTGACATTTTCTATACTAATGGTGAATTTGTGTGATTAATGCTAAAGACCATGACTTCCATCCTAGTTCTCTGCTAAATTTCTACTTTCTTAGAGTTGTTTATTAAGCAAATAAATCTAAGTTATTCCCTTGAAACTTTGCTGCGTGTGTCCATCTTGATTTCCTATTAGTAGTAAAATAAAAGAAGTACTTTGATAGCCTGTTCCTTTTATGATGCTTAAATTTTTCTTCTGGGGCCTGGGGATTTAGCTCAGCGGCACAGTGCCTGCCTGGCAAGTGCAAGGTTGTGAGTTCAATCCCCGGTACTGGAAAAAACCAAAAAAAAAAAAAATTTTTTTTTCTTCTGATGTTTTAAGTTACTTTGTTTTATTTGGGTGTCTTTTTCTCCCTCTGGTAATGCATAATTATTACTTTTTCTTGCATTTAAAAATTTTGGTATTACTCCTAGATGTCGTTGGTCAGAGTGAACCGTTACAGTCCCCGAGGAGGTGGAAAAAAAGCACTGAAAGTAAAGAAGAAGAAAACTGCAGTGAAGCAAGAATGGGATGTAAGTGCATGTGGTGGGGTGCTAGACTGTATAACTTTGCTGTGGATGGTAGCCATGATGATGTGGTCCCAGTTGCTCGGGATGGTGTTCTCAATGGGGCTCAGAGTACCAGTAATAAAGGAATAAGGTGGTATGTGTTTCTGGGCATATTATATCCTTGGTCTTTGGGAGAACAGACTTCTTTGGGGAGTTTTTTAGAATATGCTTGCCTAGGCTATAACTTCTAGCTCCTTTGAATACCAGATTAAAATCTTGATTGGGTGCAGAGTATGTCTTTTAAAAAAGTCCTTTCACCTCTGCTTTGATTAAATGCTCATTGCTTTAAGGCAACATGAGTGAGCCTGTTGCTGAAGTCTGTGCAGAATTTTGGTACCTGTTTTAGATTTGTCCTTAGCAAGCAGTGATACCGTAATTTTGTGGGTGGCATTTTTGACTGGGAAAGTGTGTGATCTTCGTTCTCTTACCTTCTGACTATTTGTTGCTTACCTCTCTAGCGGCTGGTGAATTCCCATACAAGATTCCCTTAAAATATAAAACAGGTATCTGGAAATGTAAAGCCTGGCTTCTAACTTGAGTATCACCTCATATTACTGGGAGGTTTATCTTTTGCATCCTGAAGTTTTGGTTTGGATGTGAGAGTTGGGTGCCTTTACTTTATACTGTGAAGAGTAATTAGTCAGGGACTAGCTTAGTTCTTAGGAGTTCTTTTGGGCTTGGAACTTCCAAGGTAGTGGCCAGGTAATCACCTTTACCAGGTACCTTGGGCAAACTGACAACTTCTGGAAGTTGTCAAAAATGCCAACTTCTGAACAAATGGACTTCCCTGATTAGATTATTTTATTGCCATCAGAATGGCAACAATATTTATGGTAATGTAGTATTGTCCCTTTCATAATGGTTAGCTTGGGAAATTCAGTATTTATTTCAATATTTAGCTATTGCTCACAATTAAATTGAAACCTATCATTTGAAATTACATCAAATATCTTTCTCATTTACTTGGTATCTCCGGAACTAGAAAAAAAAAAAATCTTATCTTTTGGAGGTGTTTTGGAAAATAGTCATTTGGCATGAATAGTAAATGATTGAGGAGAAGTCTAACTGATTCATTCTGTTTTGGTAACAGTAGTGAGGCACTTTCTGAAATGACTTGTATATTAGATTTAAAGGCAATTGGAGAAGAAAATAGTTTAAACACTAGTAGTATCGATGGAATTATATTTTTCCATGGCAATTAATTCCAAGCATATCCCTTCTTTGTATGCTTAAATTTTATTAGGATTACTACAAATAATTCTCATGTGCTTATAGTTGTATTTTGTACCTTTCTAAATCACCATGTAAAGAATAACAGTTTTCATGTAGAAAAGCTTTGACCTAAGTATAATCATGGCCAAAAAGTTTAGTCTTGAATATGTCAGAAACTTTTGTGACTCAGTCTCCTTTGTATTTCTTATCACTTACAAGTAAAACTCTTAACTCGTTTCATTTCCTGCCTTTCTAAATCTGTGTAGCAAAATGGCTGAGGTGACTTTGGAAAGTGCCAAACTGCAGGGCTGTTTGTTCGAGCCGTGCAGGCCAGGCACCACACAAGTCCTAACGGGACTATTTGGACGGACTAGAATATTCCTGGTACCTCCTGGAGTTGTGCAGTGTGGTAGCCTTGCCATATTGGGAGTGCCTGTTTGCATAAGGAACTATTTTCACATCTTATGAAATTAGGCAGAGCCTACACACTTAACCACTTAGCAGTTTACCCTGAGAGTCACTGGAGCAGCAGTTTTACGTACTGACTGCCCGAGCGTCACTCAGGCAGGTGTCATTTCACCCAACTGATTTTTGTATTGAATAAATTTGATAAAATTGCTGTTTTTATATTTTCTGTTATGTTATAAAAATTAATGAAAAATATGCAATTTTTGGTTATCCTGTATTTTAATAATTGGGCTGGTAAGTGGTTAATCTCATATTGTAATAGGTTCTGTGCAAAGGATGTTTGTGGTCCTAAGTTGAACCTTTCTATAGTGATCATACTTTCTATTAGAAACTTTATAGGAATCCTGGAATCCCATGGAATACAGTTTGGAAACTACAACGTTAGTTAGATGTACCCTTTAGAATGTATGCTACCCTTTTTTATTCCTTGTTTTAATATAGTTGAGTGCTTATTTTCTGTAAGATACCTAAATGGGTTATTATTTGTGGGACACCTAATTAATATTTATATGGAGGATACTCTTTCCTGGAAAGAATGTTTTTGGTCTCCAGATTTTTAATCCATTTTTAGCTTTATTATAATCCAGTAAATGCTAATATTTTATGAGAAACTTTTTTTCTTAAATAAAGGTTATCTTGTCTTCCAGAGTACTGTGAATGATCTGACAATTCATCGGGCCACTCCTGAGGACCTGGTAAGTTTAATATCAAAAGTTGTTTCATTTGGTATTTGATTTCAAATCTTCAGAATAAACACTATGATCATTCCTGGGAGTTACTCAGTTATGTTTTCTCTTGTGTATGTGTATATAAAATCCAAAAGCATATTCTCTGGACTTCCTGATTTTACCTAGGTGTATCAATTAGTATGGGAATTTCAGTTGCTAGGTTTGGGTTATGATTCAGATCTCTCTAGTACAGAATTGTGCTATACATATCTGTCTTTTCCTACCTACAGATACTTTAGGTATTATTTGCCATGACTTTGCTTTGCTAAAGTATTGATGTAGTTAGTGTAGTAATTTATCCCTTGATTATGCCATGCATATTTCTACATCTGAGTCACAGTTCGTGCATTTTACCTTCTTTACCTGCTAAGTCTTACTTGGCTTTTTTATCGTAGTTCAACTCCTACTTTTTAAAAAGTTTCCACTGTAGATTTTTTCATTTAAAATACTATTTTAAGTTTACATAGCAGTTGTACTTATCTATAGGGTACCATGTATTTTGTTATGTTTGCTTTGTATGATGTTCAAATTAGGGTAAACATATATCTCTTTAAACTTTTATTTGTGGTACAAACATTCAAAATCCTTTCTTTTAGATTTTTTTTTGAAATACACAATACCTTACTGTGCAACAGAATACAGGATTTTAAAAAGAGCTTTATTTATATATAATTCACATAGTCTTAAGATTTCCATTATTAAAATGTATACTTAAATGGTTTTTAGTATATTCAGAGTTGTGCTACCATCATTGCTATCTAATTTCAGAATGTTTTCACTACCCCAGAAAGAAACCAATGCCCGTTAAGTCACTCCCGATGCCTCCTTCCTCCCAGTCTATGGCAGGGACTAGTCTACTTCCTGTCTCTATGGATTTGCTTATCCTGGATTTTGCTTATAAATGGAGTCCATTATGTGCCCCTTTGTGTCCAGAATCCTTTTCTTACCATAATGTTTTCAAGATTCATTATATTATAGCTTATAATATAATATAGCTGTGTTATCTGAACTTCCTTATTGTTGCTGTATAATATTCCATTGTGTGAATATTGTATTTTATCTATTGATTCATTAGTTGATGAACATTTGCATTGTTTCCATTTTTGGATTTTTGTGAACGTTGCTGCTGTGAACATTCACGTACAGTTTTTGTGTGAACATATGCTATCACTTCTCTTGTGTATACTAGGACCAGAGTTCCTGGGGCATATAACATCTCCATTTTTAACTTTCTGGGTGACTGCCAAACTTTTCCAAAGTGGCTGCATCATTTATATTCCAGCAGCATATATGAGGCTTCCAGCTTCTCCACATTGGGATTATTGTTCTTTTTAGTTCTACCACTTGATATAAAGTGCTATTTCTTTGTGATTTTCACTTGCAATCTCTTACTAAGAACTGATGTTGAAAAGGTACTGAATACCTTTTCAAGTGCTTCTTGGCCATTTGTAGTGTCTGCTTTGGTTTTTTTTTTTTTTTGTATCTGCTTTGGAGAAATGTCTATTTAAATCTTTTAGTCATTTAAAATTGGATCATTTGTGTTTTTATTTTTGAACTATAATAGTCCTTATATTCTGGATAAAAGTTTCCTATGAGATATTTGATTTACACATGTCTTAGTTGTCTTTTCACTTTTTTTTTTTTTTTTTGGTGCTACTGGTGGTTCAACTATCCTCAGGCCTTTTTATTTTTTAATTTTGAGATGGTCTTGCTAAATCACAATGTTGCTTAGACTAGGCTCGAACTTGTGATCTTTCTGCCTCAGCCTCCCAGAGAGCTGGGATTATAGGCATGTACCACCCCAGCCAGCTTCTATTCACTGTTTTGATGATGCCCTTCAAGTGTGGTAGTTGAATTTTCGTGTTTTTTCTTTTAACAATTGTATTTTTAGTATCTATCAATAAAATATTACTAACCTATTCTTTACAGAGGTTTAAGTCTAAGTTTTCTCCTAAGAGTTTTATAGTTGTAGCTCTTATATTTAAGTCTGTGTTTATTTTAATGTAATTTTGTATATGGTGTGAGGAAGGGGATCCAATTTTATTTTTCTCTTTTTAAGTGGATATCCAGTTGTCTGAGGATCATTTGTTGAAAAGGTTATTCTTTCCTCATTGAATAAGCTGGACAATCTTATTGAAATATCAGTTGTCCATAAGCATAAGGGTTTATTCTGTACTTTTCTTCTCTTCCACTGGTCTATGTGTGTCTATCCCTATGTACTACTGCACCATTTGGTCATTATAGCTTTGCAGCAAGTTTGAAATTACTCTGGTGTTATTTCCTCTGAACTTACTAAGTAAAGCATTGAGTATATGCCACCTAATGCATATCATTTATCTTTATATGGGTGTGGCCAGTTTCCCTGGGCAGATATGATTGCTGCTTCTAACATCCAGGAACAACATCTTAAAATGTCTTTGTGGACCCAGAAGTCTTAATCCTGTTAGGTCTACTAGATATTCCTTAAATATTTGATGATAATACTGATACCCAATGGACTAAACTTTTTTTAATGAGAAATTTCAAGTGCAAGTGAAGTATAAAGAACTCTCATGTAATTCCATGTGCTCTTCACTTGAAAATGATATTTATTAAAATTTTGCTATAGTTGCTGCATTTTTCATAGTGTGTTCTTTCTTCACTGGAATATTTTAAAGTGAATCCTAGAGAACATAGTGCTTTTGTGCATATATATTTAGTTTGCATTTAAAAAATTAGACTTTTTAAAAAAGTTATAATAGCATTATTATGTCCGCAGTGTTCAAAATAATTTTTTGTAATATTTAGTCCATATCCAGACTTTTTTGTTCTGTTTTGTTTTGTTTTTTTGACATAGGGTCTCACTATGTAGTTCAGGCTGACCTTGAACTCATTATGAAGCTGAGGCTGGCCTTGAACTCACAGAGATCCTGCTGCCTCAGCCTCCCAAGTGCTGGGATTACAGGCATGTGCCACCACTCCTGGCTTCTCCCTTAAGACCTGTAGTTCATTTCTCTTTGTCCCAGGAACTCCACTTTTCTTGGGTTTCTGCCACTTCTGTGGCTCACTGCCACACGAAACCATGGCAGCACTGCACAATTAATTCTTGGTAGTCATGTGATTATCATGAAAATGACGTGTCTTTGTCAAAGATGACGTAGTGGGTTTGTGCCTTTTACACTGTGCTCTGTGTGTGTGTGTCATGTATATGTGTGTGTGAAAATATCAGTTTTGACCTACAAGTTGATTTTTACCATCCATTAAATGAGACCTAACCCATGGTTCACAGAACACTAGGGTATTAGATAGTGTTGTAGAAAAAGAAATTGAAATTAGCATTAGTTTTAGTATGTCTTTTAGCTAGATATACTAGTTCTATATACTTCTTTTTTTAAGATTACTTTTGAAAATTTAGAGGACGATGAAAAATTGGTTGTGAGTATATAGAAACATGTATATATTGAACCCAAAAAATTACAAGTGATGAACGGGGTGACTAGGTGGTCCTACCATCTGTATAAGCCACTTCTTTGCTACTGAAAATGTTCCTTTCTGTTTTTTGTTTTTGTCCTATGTAGGTACGGCGTCATGAAATACACAAATCGAAGAACAGAGCATTAGTACACTGGGAACTCCAAGAAAAAGCTCTGAGAAGAAAATGCAGGAAGCAGAAACCAGAAACTTGGAATCTAGAGAAAACTAGATTGTCCATCATGAAGGAGGTAATGCTAATGTGAATTAAGAGTTTGAAGAAAGAGATAAATAGGGTTTTCTCTTTTTCCTCGAATTTGATTCACTTTAGAGATACTCTGGTAATTGCATCTTTATACAGGGATCTACAAGGGCCAGTCAAAAAATACGGCTGGGTGTGGTGGTGCATGCCTGTAATCCCAGCACTTGGGAGGCTGAGGCAGGAGGATTGCAGTGAGTTTGAGGCTAGTCTGGGTTACAAAGCAAGTTCAAGGCCAGCCTGCACTACATAGGAAGACCCTGTCTCAAAAAAACCAAAAAAATCCAACCAACCAAAATATATATTTACATAGAAAATTTATTACAGTAGAAGATAAATTGCTGTAAATTGCCCTCAAATATTCCCATTTATTTTGAACAAACTTAGCCCATTGTTCTTGTACTTTCTCTTTTTTTTTTCCCTTTTGAGATAGTCTTATTGTGTAGTTCAGGCTGACCTTGAACTCACTTTGTAGTCCAGACTGGCCTTGGAACTCGCAGTGATCCTCCTGCCTCAGCATCCCAAGTGCTGGGATTATAGGCGTGCACCACCACCCCCAGCTTTGCACTTTCTGAAACAGTCCTGGAAGTCCTCTTTTGTGGCTATCCTTAAGTGGTGCGATCAAAAATGCAGTGAATGCTGCTGTGCAGTGCCGTCGATGGGAAGGCAGACTCGTAAAAACATTGCAGTGTATCTTCATCTGTCTTATTTACTGCACCTGCTGCCATGTGACTTTCGGCTCTTCCTCAAAGTCAAAATGACCATGAAAGGTAAACATTTTCGGTCAGTTTAGGACATCAAGGCCGCCATGACAGTGCAACTAAAGACACTCATTCAAGAGGACTTCCAAAACTCCTTCAAGAAGTGGCAAGCACTCTGTGATGAATGTGTTTGAAGCGAGGGGGGATACTTTGAAGGGGTGAACGGCAATGTATATTTCATTGTAATTTTAAAAATCTAAGCATTCACTGTATTTTGTAATTATATTTTGTATGTGGACTTTGCAAAAAGTAGCAAAATGATGATTAGAGTCTAGTATAGTGATTAGAATTCTTGCTCAACAACTTACGAGCTCTGTGACCTTAAATTTTTTAACTTCTCAACCCGGATTGTCTCATCTTTAAAATGTCTGGATAATACTGTAAAGTGATCTCAGTATGGTCCTTGGTGCAGAAATAATCTCTTCTATACATAAACTATTGCAGTTATTTTTCTCGGTTCAGTAGCACTGCTGTTAGATTACTTAGCAAAACTAAGTTAAATAAAAGAGAATGTTATATGCTCATATATGCTCATCCCACTCGGTAGTGATCCATTTATTTTAGGCTTAACTTTTTGCCAGATGTAGGGTGTTGGATAAGTAATCAAATACATAGGGATGAACAGTATGGGAAATAAGAGGAGACTACAGCAAAATCACCTTTTAAAATTTGAACTGAAATCATTGTAAAGAAATGTGCTTCGCAGCATTGCTTCTTACTTGTGTTAAAGCTTACGGCACTGGGCAGGCTGGATGACCCTTCGTGTCGGCTTTAAGTCACACCATCTTTTGAGAACTTCATTAGCGTTCTTGGTGAAATGAGAAAGCTCCGGTCTCACATGTCATCAGGAAGGGTTACACCTCCAAAGTAAAAGTCTACATGAGCTTGAGAAGAGAATAATGGGTTGGGGGAAAGTGCTCCCTTACAGATAAGTAACCTGCGACCTCGGACAGTTCGCGCAGGTTGGATGTTACCTGCTGACTCTCACTGGTAGGGCTGAAGACACAGTTCCGTCCCGGAAGAGGGCAGCCCTGCAGCAGTGGATCAAATTCTGGGCTTTCCCCCTCTCTAGTGGCTTCTCACATTCTGAATGTACCCTCTAAGTAATAAATATGGCAGAAGCAGGGATTCAGTAGAGGTATTTTTAGATAGTTTTCTGAGTCATTTTAATGTGCTTTAGGGTTGAAAACCTCTTAGTGGAATTCACTTGTTTCCCTTTAACAATATATCTTGGAAGTTATCCCATGTCAGCTTAAAAGTCTACCTTGTTTTTCTTTTTCTTTTTTTTAATGTGGTGCTGGGATCAGAGCCAGGACCTTGCACATGCTAGAGAAATGACTACCCGAGCAGCAGCTCCAGATTTTACCTTTTATCTGTAATGGCCACATAGTGTATAGATTTACTATCATTTATTTATCAGTGTTTTATTGATGGACATGGGTTGTACATGAGAGCGTAGTATTAACCTTCAGGAAACAAAGGACTGCAGATCATACTGGTTTGAACAAGGTAGAGATTTATTTCTGTCTCATGAAACAGTTCAGAGGTAAAGGGTAGCTGGGAAGGGAGCCTGCAGCCCTCGTTATGTGGCTTCTATCTCTGAGTACCGGTGGCTGTACTCCGAGCCAGCAGAAGTGGAGAAGGCAGTTCATTCCCTTCCAGAAGTTTCGGTGTAGATCTTGTTGACCAGGAAGTCATTGCACGGTCCTTTTCGCCTGCAAAGATGGTTGGGAAATCTCGCTGTGTGCTTGGCTGAATCTAGGGCGTGCTGCTATTGAAGGCAAAGAGGAAGAAAGAGTGTTGGTGGATACGTAGCCGTGCGCGCTGCCCACAGATTGCCTCCTGCCTTGCCACCTGAAAGGATGTGACAGATTCTTGAATATGGTTTGGGGTACATGTACACTTAGAGGGTAAATTATTAAAGCATTGCTGAGTCAAAAAAAGTACATCTTTTATTTCAGTGTTACTAGATATGTAATGTTTGTGTTTAAGGGATATGATAAGACCAAAGGAAAAGCTCTCCTTGAGCGTATCCAAGTCGGCTCACTATGTTTTTCTGAAGATTAACCATACACAGCTAGGTTGGCATAAATGAAGAGAAGAGCTCTTCCCTAGCATAGTCTTACATAGCATTTAATGTGACATGCACCCCGGCCGTGGGAATCAAGGAAATTGGGGTCCAAGTCCAACTCAGAGAAAGGAGGCTTTCACAAAGATTTCATAAATTCCAAAAGTATAACAGCGCCCCAAGTCTCTTTGTAATTTCTTAGTTGCTATGGCCAGAGAACAAAAAGAGTTGAATAAGGAGTTCTTAGTAAGGTTTTGGCAGGGACCCTGACTGAACCTTTGAAAACCCGGTAAATTCACCACCACTTGCAAACTTGTACTCTGCAAACACACTTGGGATAGTAATACAGTATATACAGATGGGCTTGTAGAGATGAGTTTACCGGTCCACAGAGTGAGTTTTATGAGACAAATAATAAATCTAGGAAGAGCAAAGAAAGAACAGGACACTGATACTATTTGACCACTCAAACCATCCGTTCCAAGGAGCCTGAGCAGAGACTAGCAGAAGGCGGCCAGGCAGTGTTTTCCTTGAGACCTCATGAATATCAGGTTTCAGTATGATTGGTAAGATTATTCCTCCACAGTCTGCTTCTGTCTGTTTGAGGTCTTTATTATTTATTTTGATAGATCAGTGTTCTTTTTTTTATAGTAAACTCTTAGAAAATAGCCATTTTGAAAACAACTTTTTGTATTTTTTCTGCTTTAATAGTAGACTAATCATTCTGCATTTTTGTAAACTCTTAATTGCATGTACTTGCAAGAGACATTGCACTGGGCATAGAGAATTGCCTTATGGGTAAATCGGAGAAATCCGATCATTTACACCGTAGTAGTGTTCTAAACATTCATCACTGGAGTGCCAGACAGGTTTTCAGTGTGTTCACAAGCCTTTCACATCCCTGTGGGGTTGAGGAGGTGGTTGTATCTCCATTGCCACATCAGGAAACTTGAGTTTAAAGAGGTTGAGTTTTGCCTGGTTTTCCTTGACTGGACCTGGAAGCCCGATCTTGTGCTCTTGGCCTTAACATTCCAAAGCTTACTCCTTATGGAAGGAATGAATTCAGAACTTTATTCTCACAGCTGAGCTAGCTGATCTGCTCAGCTATGTATAGTAGGAGAGAGGGAAAAAGTATGACTAAAACTTATCTTTCTGTGTCCTAAAACCATAATTTAGGTCACATTATATAATTCTGTGATATAGAGAAAGTCTGGTAAGACCATTTGCTACCAGATGTTTTATTGACTTGCGTCAGCCTTGGAAACCAGGCAGTTAATTTTGACTTCTTTCAGTTTAAGAGTGCCACCTGGTGGTGGTAGACAGAGTTGACTTACTTTTTTCTCTAGCCTATGGCCTTTTAGAATTATGCTGGCGCCTGAGAGTGCAAGATCAGAGGCACAGCTGTGGGGATTTTCTGAGTTCCTGCTTCTCCAGGATAAAAAACCAACTTGTTCACAAACAGAAAAGCATCACGTTTGTTTAATGCTAAAACTCATCTTACCTTGTTTTAATTATCATCCATTATAGATTATGAAATTACTTTAGTGATTGAAACCCCTCAAAGTTTGTAGCTCAAAGTCTTTGTGTTTTTTCGAACTGTTGATCTTAATTTGTTAAAGAATTGTGAAATTTAGTAGGTTATCATTTAAAAATAGAATGGAAGTTAAAAGAAAATATAAAAATAGTTTTCACAGAGAAAGGTTAAGTAAAATTTTTGTTACAGATATAGATATATTTGCGTGGACGTGCGTATACTGGGCGTAATTCAATGCACGTTTGGTTTGTTGGCTGTCATTTGAAAGCCGCTAACAATTGCAATAGCCCCATCTGCTGGTAGTTACGGATATCGCCACGGAAGGATTTGAGGGAGATGGCGGCCTGTGGTTATTATATGCAGTTTCTTTATACGTAGTCTTTTCTTTTGCGATTTGAAAAGTAAACGTTTTGTTTCTGAAGAGTAATTGTCATTAACACGTGTTTAGATTCTTTCTGATCAATACCAGATGCGGGATGTCTTGGAGAAATCCGATCATTTGATGGCCGCAGCCAAAAATCTATTTGGTGATGCTCCGTGCAGGCGCACAGGTCGGTATTCGATCCAAAGAAAAGCTGCTTCTTCTTACTGAGTATTTGAAAGAATTTAACGTTCTTTTGCAGACATAATATTATATATTACAGGTATTCAGGATGGGCAATATACACGGGTTGTAGTGTTAGAGTCATTATGATTTGCTTTTTACAAAGGTATTGATTATTGCAGATTACTCAGCTAAAGAAAGACAAATTGTTATTATCTACTAAAATATGGCATAATGTGCAGTATTTCAAAAGTTTGAAATGTGACAATTTTCAGTTTTTTACCATAAAAATTAAGATACTTGCTTTATATGTGTATGAAGCAGTAGCGGTGAGCCTGAGGCACGTGTGCAGCAGTAGGCTATCACTGAAAGCTCTAAAAGGTTCGCCATCGCTGATGTATATTCTGAGTGAAGCTTAATTTGAAACCTAAAGCTTAACACTGAAAACTTCACTTTCCCTGTAAAAGAAACTTCGCCTCTCATCAGATCACCGACATTACTCATTTTGATGTGTATAGACTTAATTTCTCATCTTAATTTCTCAAAACCAAGCAGTTTTAGTATAAAGTTTGAGCCTTGGGCCAACCATTTATTAGTGTAACTCTGAGCTGGTTGTAGTCTCTGAGTTTCCGTTTATTGATCTGTAAAATAGTATCTACCTCATGGGGTTTTGTGAGTGTGAATACAAGCTTAAGTATACGAGTGTACATACATACATAAACGTGGGAAACAGTGATGGAATATAGTCAGCGCTATTCCATATAAGCTGCTGCTGCTGTTGTTATTTGCGATTTCCATGTGATGATACAAATCTGTAGCGCTCTAGAACTTGTGAAGCCAGCTTCATTAAATAAAACAGTCATCACTGCTTACTTTCTTTCTGCAGGGTTTCCAAATGTAACAATGGCTCCTGATTCGTCTCACGGTCCCATCGGGGTGAACCAAGACCCTATTGCCCGGTCCATCCTTAATGAGTCTGTCCTGGAGCCTCAGGTAATGTGCTGTGCTCATACCGTAGTGCTTACCCTGAAATGAATGTAAGTTGATGCGGGCATTGTGGTAAACATTAGAAAAGCTTCGATGTCAATAGTCATTAGTTGCGGTTGCTAGACTTGCTCTTAGAGAAGCATATTGCACTCCGCGTGAGTAATGCTTATACTAAACAAGAGGGGAGACTGCGTAGTCACAGTCGACCATTACTGAGCGCTTACCTAGGAGGTTTGTTCTACTGTTGTCCTCACCTGGCACATGAAGAGAGCGAGGCTCAGAAAAATTGTGACTTGTCCCAGATCATGCAGTTTGCATCAGAGGTGAAATTCTAATTTAGGTCGTGTGTCTCCACAAGCCTGCCCCCATCTACATTAAGGAAGCAGCGGGGAGCCGCTGGCCGCAGGTGGATCTGTGTTCTGCTGCACACTGGCTGTGCAGTCTGGAGTTGTTTCCTTAGGATTTCTGAGTTGGCTCAAAGTGGTCTTTTCTTTTTTGTTTCTTTGTTCTTTATTAAATGTGAGTAGAATACACCGGGTACAGTTGTTATATGGCTCAGCAGCAGAAATAGGCTATACAAAGGGCCTAGCCTATGCCGGGAGTGTAGCCCTTTATTAAATGTTGGTCATTTTAAATGTATCAGTATATGTAAAAGGTAACTGCCCAGGAAACCTGGAGTTTATGGGGAAATAATAAATAATAAATCACTGTACGTGATGCCGTACTAATAAAACATTCATTAGCTATAGTCTAACATAATTGAAACTCTTAGTCAAAATGTTTAGAATTCTGAGTTTGTAAATATTTCTTAAAAAGCCCAGGAAGAATGTAATACTAAAAAAGAATGTAATACTAAAACAACTAGTTAGAAATGAGTAGGACTTAGTACCTTTTAAACAAAATATCCTTATTTATTCCTTCTGTTACAAATAAGGGAGAATCTTTAATTGAAGGAATGACCCTAAGAAATTGCAGGTTCTGAATCACAAAAGACATACTAATTATATTGTTTTCTACTTAAAGGCAATTAAATAGAATGTTATGCATATTTAAAATAGCCAAACCCATTAGCTATAACCCCTGGCAAAACCATTTATATTTTGGCACTTACTGAATCTTAATCAGATAGTTAGAAACTGAATCATGTAAGAATAGTTTATTTCTGTAATGTGTTCAACTGAAGCCTGTCCATTTATTTAAGTACATTGTGTAGTATCGGGCCCTATGTATTTGGCGTCATAATTTGTGTCATTTGGAGCTGGAGTCAAGTGTGTAGCGTGTCCCAGCAGCCGTCGGTGTGTCTGCATCATTGGTATGTGGACAGGGCAAGAGCTGAGGTTTCGTAGACCGGCCCCTCGAAGGCGGGGCACCCCGGAAGTTAAGAACTCAGTGAAGGGTTTAAGTGAGATTGACTGTAGGGTAGATGATGAGCGGCACAGGGCTGGAGGGAGGGTCTGTGCCTTGGGCTGTTTTCTTTTGCTAATAACGCAACACAGACTGGGTTAGTTATGCAGAGAAAAGGCTTACTTTGGCTCACGTTCCTGGTCTAAGGCTGAGGGTCAGCATCTGTTGATGGTCTTGTGAGCAGGGTGCTGAGGTGATGGCGAAGCCAAACTGGCTTTTCTTAGCGGAACTGCTTGTGACATAATTAATCCATTAGTCCAATAATGGGCTAACCCAGTCATGAAGGCAGAGCCCTAATTACTTCCCATGGTCCCATCTCTTAAGATCTCACCATAAGGATTAATTTCAGCATGAACTTTGGAGGGAACAAGCCGTAGTTAAACCACAGCAGTCTGGGTAGAAGACTCAGGTTGGGATCTTGATGAGAAGTGGGAAAAACCTGACCTAAAGCAGTGCCAGTGGTGAAGGTCGAGGCATACATCTGAGAGAAGTTACAGAGGGGAAGAGATGACAGGATTGGACGGCTGCTTAGATTTGACGGGCGAAAAAGGAACTCCTGGCTTGTTGGTTTGAACACCTGAGTAGACGACACTGTTCATGGTTTAGGCAGTGCAGGCTGAGCAGGTTTCTGAAGAATGATGGGAAAGGCTTAGGAAGATGTTTGGTGTTGGCCATATCTGGAAGAGATATCTTTTAGGCAGTTGAATATAAATGTACAGGGCTCAAGAGAGATCTGAGCAGAGATAAAGATTTGGAAATTAACAGTGTTTGACTTGAGATTGCATCTTTGGACTTAGGAGTAGATCAGATGAGAGCAGAAAAGGTTCAAAGGTAGGACTTTGAATCCCATCAGATATAAGGGCAGGGTAGAAAAAGAAAGCCAGCCGAGCATGATAGCGCACGCCTCTAATCCCAACACTCAGGAGGCTGATGCAAGAGGATCGCTGTGAGTTAGAGACCAGCCTGGACTACAAAGTAACTTTAAGACCAGCCTGAACTGCATAGTGAGACCCTAGCTGAAAAAGACAGACAGACAGAGAGAAAGAAAGAGAGAAAGAAAGAAAAAGAAAGAAAGAAAAGAAAGGAAGAAAGCAAGCAAGCAAGCAAGCAAGCAAGCCAATATAGGAAGTTGGGGAAAAAAAAGCAAAGAAAGAAAGGAAGGAAGGAAGGAAGGAAACCAATACAAAAGGTTGGAAAAAAAAATAGCCAGAAGAGAAAATCCAAGAAAATACAGTGTCATGTAAGTTAAAGGGTAAACAGTATATCAGAAGATTTTAAAAGAAAGAACTTAGTAGTTATACAAGGTCCAGTAAGTCAGAATAGTAAAAGAAGGTAAAGACAGAATACATGTCTGACCTTGCAGAGAGAAGTGGTAGGGCAGAAACAGAATTATAAGGCATTGCTGATGACTGAGAGGTGGGAACAACTTGTGGAAGATGTGTGGGAAGCTAGGAGTAGCTCAGACGTGGGGATAGGGTCAGGGTAAGATGGGAGCGACTTGCTTACACTTAAGTCTGTGAAGCATAGAGAGGTCTGGGGCCCGGGTTGGGAAGAGCGCAGAGAGGCAGAGGAGGCTGAAGATGTTGGAGAGAGGAAGGCGCATGGATGGCGTGGAAGGAGGGGAGAGGCTTTGGGTTCCAGAACACACATGAAGGCATTGACCTTGGGAAGTCTCTTGATTATGAGAGAAGTAAGGGCTGATTGTGGTATAAAACTTTGTGTGATTTACTTTCTATTGCTGAGGTAGGCTCTTAATGAAGTGGATGACGAAGGAGAAGAAGGAACTGTTAATAGCCAGTCTGAAGAAAGTGAAAACGAATTGGGTGACTCCGTAAACCCTCAGTCTAACATGAACACAGAAAGGTGTGTACGTATGTCATGAACATCTACAGTTACTGCCTTTTTAGCAAGTCTCCTTTAAATGTTTTTGTACTACATCTTTTTTCTTTTAATTAATTGAGAGTTTATTTTTATTAAAATTGTTTTGTATGGGTATGGTTTCAGAAAACTGGAAGAATAGTGGAAGAATAATGCAAAAAAACTCTTGTGTGTTTTTCATTTCCTGTTTCATTTATAATTTTTTGTTTGTGTTTTTATGCTCATACACATGCATGTGAATATCCATGCATATTTTGACAACCATTTTGTATAATGTTTCTTCTTATATTTATTTTGATGCTTATTTGTCATAGATTAGGCCAATGGGAGCTTCTTCAAATCATTCCTGTGTCCATTTTTATATATCTTTTTTTCCTCTTGATTTAATTTCTGGTACCAGATGGGTCTTGTTATACTTTCCCTGCCCTTGCCCTGGAATCAGCCATTTCTTTGAGAAGTAGTGTGTCTTTGTTACTTTTCTGTCTTGTTGGGACAAAATACTGAACGCCCAAAATCAAGGAAGGGAAGGTTTATTTAGCTCACAGTTTGTAGAGGTTTCAGTCCATAATTAGCTGGCTCCAAGGCAGAGTGGCATGGCACAGGGGCACCAGTTCAAGGCTGTGGAGGACAGCAAAAGCAACAAGAGCCAAAAGAGGGAAGTAAGCCTCTTTTCTCCCTTATATTGCATTCAGCCTATCTGCCCTAGGGCTGGTGTAGCACTCACACCATCTCCCTGCCCTGCTCTTGCACAGGCTCAGGGTGTTTGCAAAGTGAGGCCTCCGTGCCCTGCCACCGTGCCTTGGAGCCAGCTGATTATGGACTGAAACCTCCACAAAGAGTGTGAGCTGAATAAACCTTTCCCTCTTTAATTTGGGCGGAAGGTATTTTGTCCCAGTCACGAGAGAAAAGTAACGAAGACAACAGTTGAAGATTAAAGTATCAGTTCTATCAGTGATAAAGATGTCGCTAGCATAAGGCCTAACCCTGTAAGAAAAGGCTTGCAAATATTAAGCCCCTGAACTATCTCACCTCTTCGCAGTCCCTCTGCTTCCTCCCTGATGCACAGGAGCACGGTCTGCTTGAATAAATTTACTTCCGTATGAGCAGGAACTGCTCTTTGTATAGGTTCTTCTATGGGACAGAGAAATAGAAACGCCATGTATGCATCTACAGAATAGAGGGGAAGGCGGAGCAGTACTACAGAACTGCAGAAGGACAGATGCTCAACTTAGGGACCAAAGTGGACAGGAATCTGGGGGGCTGATGGAATGATTCCTTCAACAGAAAAATGGTAGGCATTTTAGCTATCTGCATATCTTATCAGTTAAAATTAAAAATATTTTTTATCTTTGAATTACTGAAAGCTCCTTCAAATCAAATACGTAGACTTTTGGACAATAAAGCACCTATTACTTTTGATATAGCATATCGTCCTGTTACTTACAGGTTTCTCCAACAACTAAAGGAAGATAATTCTGAGTTAATTAATAAGCTGTGGACTGATATTCAGCAGAAGCTAGCAACACAGTCAGAAACAACAACCCCTCCTGGAACTCCGTCTTCCGCTCTTCCATCCGAGGAACAGAGAGGTTTGTTCCTCCTTTGCATTATAGTTAGTAACCCGGTTTATTCAGTTCTTTGTGGGACGCAGCAATACTTTCTAAAGGAGTATCATTTAACTTTTGAGTCCTTTATGTAGCCTAATTGAGTAAAATACTAATGGATCCATCACTTGAAGTACGTATTAAAGGAAGTTTATTCACTTGGATACTTTCCGCCATGTTCCCTTGTTTAGCTGCTCTGAATGCTACTGATGCCGTCAAGAGAATCCAAAGCAGGCTTCAGCCTGAAGAATCTCCTGGAACTCTAGACTCAAGCTATATTGTGCGACAAGTGCTGAACTCACGGAAGCAAAAACAGCTCTTAAATAAAGGTTCAGTTCCTTAATTTACAAAGATGAACAGTTAAACATGTAACTTGATTCAGCTATCTTAACCACTTAGTCAATGTTTAAATGCACCCAGTTGGATCCAAGTAAGAGCTTACGGAAGGATAGCTAAGAAGTCCTTCCTCTTCCATTTAAGTCTGAAAAGATAGTTCTAGTATATTTATTATAGCGGATGTAAGCTCTGTTTAAATTGTATAGGTTTTGTAATGATAAAATGGTAGTAATTTCCATAAAAACTTTCGATAAATTGTGAACAACAGTCAGAAAGTTTCTCTTGTCATTTTGTAGTTGTAAGCATTTGGTCTTAAAATAGCTTGACTTGTCATTCTTAGTGAAAAGAAAACCAGACTTGCACGCTCCTTCCAAGCCGAAGAAAAACATGCTCTCGGTGAGCACAGGCTCTGCAGACTTGCAAAGCAGCAATAACTCCAGCCTGGATGTCCTCAAACACATGATCCATGAGGTGGAACAGGAAATGGCGGAATACGAGCAGTGCACAGGGCGCGAGGTCACGGGCCTGCAGGGGGGTCAGGGTCTCACGGGCTTCACGTTGTCCTTGGTGAGCTCTCTCTGTCGCCTGGTTCGGTACCTGAAAGAGGTAAGTGTGTGTGGGTTGTTTATTTTTAAAAATAGGTTAACCACTCTAATTCAGATGTTTCGATTGCTGTGGAGATGTTTTCCTAAAATTGTCTTTTATTTTTTAAATTTTTAGTGATTCTTTTTTTGGTATGGGGGATTGAACCCCGTGTTTTGTACATTGACCTACATCCCAGCCTTTCTTATTTTTATTTACTTGGATTTTTTTGGTACCGGGGATCGAACTCAGGACCTTGCACTTGCCAGGCAGGCGCTTTTGCTGCTGAGCTATATCCTCAGCCCCCCTTTTTTATTTTGAGATAGTGTCTCACTAAATTGTTTAATTGCCCAGGCTGTGCTGGAAATTGCCTTCCTCCTGCCTCAGCCACCCACAGTGCTGGGATTCTGGGTGTCTCTGCCCTATGCCTGGCTTAAAATTGCTTTTTAATGGAAGATTTGTTGTCCTGTGATACTTGTTAAAGTCTTCATGTTCTTTTACCTGTAAGTCAGCAATCTTCAGAAGCATGCTTGAGATTCTTAGAAAGTATTACTAGAGTAGAGCATGTTTACCTGATCACTTACTTTACAAAGCTAAACCGTTTAATGTATAGAGTTAGTAGAGTTTAATGTAGTCATTTATTCTTAATTATATTTAATAAACAAGTTTTGAATTGGTGTTACAGCACATGTATGAAATTCGAAGGTACAGAAAGGTGTAAATGAAGCATCTGATTTTTGTTCCTGATTTCCAGCTAACCTGTTCGCTTCCTCACAGCTGTCATCCCTGTTACCAGTGCAGGCTTTTAGAGATGGTCTCTCTATTCAAACAGTATGTAAATGTTGCTAGGCATGGTGGTACATACCTGTAATCCCAGCACTCCAGGAGGCTGAGATAGGAGGATTGCAAGTTCAAACCCAGCCTGGGCAACTTAGTGTCTTAGCAAAACCCTGTCTCAAAATAAAAAATAACCACTCTGGTTTCTCTTAAGATCATATAAATCTTTTGTCTTTTTACTAAAAAGTTTTTGAAAAATGACTGGGGATGTAGTTTACTGAGTGAGAAGGCTCAGAGTTCAATCCCCAGTACTACAGGAAAAAAAGGTAAATGTGTATCCTTTCACTTTCTCACATTAAAAATAGTTATTTTTGTTCACTGTGTTACAAAAGGGGAGAGATGAAGCAGCACATTTTATTTTTATTTCAAAAAGTATAATAAATATAACAAAAATTTTCAATTCTTGTGCTTGCTTTGGCAGCACATATACTAAAATGGGAATGATACAGGAAAGATTAGCATGGCTCCTGCTCAAGGATAACTTGCAAATTTACAAAGCATTTCATAATTTTAATATATATGTGCCAGTTGTCCAAAATGAATGTCATTATTATGTGTTGCAAATATAGGCCAGTAAAAACTTTAAAATTCCCCTTGCTGTCACGTGTGTCTTTGTAATATCTTTGACAGCTTTGAGCAGAAACTGTTAGTTTTCAGTATGTTCTGTTATTAGTGGAAGTTTTTAATTTTTTTTTTAGAGTGAAGTTCAGCTGCATAAAGAAGTAGAGACAAGGCAACAACTGCAACAAATATTAGGTGACCACCGCGAGCTCATTGATGCTCTGACAGCTGAAATTCTTCTTCTTAGAGAAGAAAATAGTACCATACAGGTACTGGGATGCGATGCCAAACTTTTCTATTTATAATGGTGTAAAACATCTTTATGCATGTACGCGATCTGCTTAGAGTTGGCTTTGGTTCAGTTGTGCCAGTGAATTACCTATCACTCATTGTTATCATCAGCACTAGGTGTTACTGAACATTTATTATATTGTAGAACCTTGGACTGCAAATAGTATATAGAAGTCTGCTGCCTTTCAGAAGCATCCTACTTGTTGTAGGAGACAGAATGTACATTTAAATGATAATTCCTAATACTGTAATTATTATTCCAAAATGTGAAACGAGTGCTATGATAGCTACTTTTAATTTCAAAACAGCAAGAAGATAACCTTTCAAGAGCCCTTCTACAGTCACGGCAGAGGCTATTTACAGTTGTTTGTAATACCTTTATATTTGACTTGCCACTTGACTAATTGTGCTTTTTTCTTAAAAAAATGTTTGCAGTATCCCTTTTAGAAAACCTCGTCCTTGCATACTGCATTGAGCACTCTTGCTTTGTATGCCGTTGATGCTCTTTGTTTTTTTGTTTTTTGTTTTTGGTACCGAGAACCGAACTCAGAACCTTGCGCTTGTCAGGCAGGCACTGTGCTGCTGAGCTATATGCCTGGCCTTTGATGCTCTTTGGATATTGCTATTCCACCTTTACCACGTAATGTTACACTTACGTGTGTACTTATCACTGAAACTGTGCTGCTCGAGTGCAGAGGTTGTTTAATGGATCTTTTTATTCTCATGGGCACTGTTATTATTACTTACATTTATTAGCATAAGAGACACAAAAAGAGTAGTAGAGAAATTTGTGTTTGTGTCAGAAGACATTAGACAAAGATGTATAATTTTTTAAAAATTAATAATATAGTCCACATTCCATTCTAGCTTTTTAAGTGTATAATTCTATATTTTATAGGTTAGCCAGAGGGCAAAAGTCAATCTCAATGAAACTATTCTCAATCCAGAACATTTTTCGTCAGAGATATAGCTCAGTGGCACAGCGCCTGCCTGGCAAGCACAAGGTCCTGAGTTCAAGTCCAGGTCCAAAAAAAAACCCAGAACATTTTCATCACCCCCGAGAGAAATCCCATGCCTGTGAGGAATCACTCCCTCTGCATAGCCCCTGGCAGTTACTAATCCACTTTCTGTCTATGTATTTGCCTTCTTTTTGCATCTCATCATTTCATAGAAATGGAATGATGCAGTATGTCTGGCTTCTTTCATTCACCATGTTTTTAAGGTTCATTTATTCTGTATCGTATATATTTCATTCTTTTATATCACCCAATAATATTCCACTTTATGGATATGCCACATTTTATGTATCCGTTGTTCAATTGATGAAAATTTGGGTAATTTCCACTTTTTGACTATTATAAATATTGGGGCTAAAAACATTCATGTACATATTTTTGCATGAACCTGGTTTTATTTCTCCTGGGAAGATAAGGTTTAAAATACAGTGATTTATTTAACAAACTTTTCTTGAGCACCTGCTTTGGGCCTGGCATAGTTCTAGATGCAGCAGTACAGTAGGGAACAACATGTCGAAATCCTTACCCTCTTGGGGCTTGCATTTTAAATAAATCCTAAAAGAAGTAAACTACTAGTAAGTTAGGTGGCAGTATGTACTTTGAAGAAAAATAAAGCAAATAAAAGGCACAGGAAATGCCTACCATGGGTGGGATGTGGTTATAAATGCAGGGAGCCATGCCTGTCTGAGGAGGCGACATTTGAGCAAAGACTTGGAAGGGGTAAGGGACGCGGTGTTTAGAACAGATGGCAGGGAGCAGTCTGAACAGAGGAAAAACGGGCAAAGGTCTTGAGGTGGGAGTGTAGCCGTGAGAACAGAGTTACCGGGAAATCTAGTGTCACTGTGGGGGCGGGGGTGGGGTGGGAGGAGAGCAGCCAGGGGCAAGATCAGGTAGAGCAGATCACGTGTAGCTTTGCACACAGGTTGAGGACTTGGGCTGCATGAGATGGGAACTGGTGAAGGGAAGAGAGCTGATCGGATTTGGGTTTTAAGAGAATCACTCTGGACTGCAGTGCTGAAGCTAGAGCTGGGTTAGAGATCCCTGCTGTCTGCCGGGGAACAGTGTCTCCTGGTACCCCTAGGCAAAGAGAAATAACTAAGAGTTTCATTTGTTAAGTGGTTAGGTCCAAACCATTTATGTCCTAGCAACTTACAGAAAAAGATACACGTAAATTGAGAGAAAAACGAATGCATTTCATTCTTAAATAAGTAACAAATAGTTACTTACCAGCTGAATGTGTGTACCTTTTGAGCAGTGTACAACTGTCCAAAGAAAGTTCGGAATCACACTGGATACCATTACTCTTACTTTCTTTTCCACACTGATTTTAATCTAGAACTTTTTTTTCCCTTGCTTTGTGGCTGTTAAAGTCCAGTCATGAGAAGATTTGAGCTTATCAAAAGGAGTGTAATGCAGTCTTTTGTTGAAACTGTGAACTACTCCAAGCTCGGAGTTCATTGATGTCTGATAGATGGTCAGGCTTCACTGTTTCTCCTGAAAACTGAAAATATCCTCTGGGGCCTCTTGAGTTCACGCTGGTGTCCCGAGTATCTTAGCACACAGTTTGGGGACAGGACTAGACTAGGTGGCCAAACACAGACGCAGGGAGGAGTTGTTGGAACAATTCAGGTGGGACATGGTGGCTTGGTCTAGAGTGGAAGAGGAGAGGGTGTGAAAATTGATTAAATTAAAAATATACTTTAAAAGCCAAACAGACTTATTGGATATATGGTAAAGGAGAGGATGTGAGAGGAAAGAGAGTCAAAGGCATTTCCAGGGTTTTGGACTGAATCATTAAAATGGTGAAGTTTGTATTTATGAGGTGGGAAAGCCTTCAGGAGGAGTTTGGTTTTGTATATCTTAAGTATGAGAAGTCTATTTGAGTCCTAGGCAGAAATATTGAGGCCACGGGGTGCATGCGTGTGAAATCTGGGCTGGTGCTATAAAATGTTAGTATACTTATTCAGCAGTATTTCTGATATTTCTGATGTCTGGCCACAGCTGACTTGTATTCGACGTTTACATTTCTCTAAGCGTGTATGAGAAATACATGTGCTTAGGTAATAATTGATCTGTAGCTGTTATCTATGGCTTCTTTTACTTTCTCTTTATTACAAGGGCTTAGCAATTTGTACAACTTTCCTCTTTTTATGTCTACCTGCCATCTTCTGTGCTTCTAAGAGCCAGCTATTTAACAACAGTTCTTAGAAAGACCTGCATCATGTGGTTGTAATCAAACCTGTTGCTCTCAGATGATCTTCTTACATCTTCAGTGTGGAAAATATTAGGAACAAAACAAATGCATCCAAACTTCTGGGCAGTCCAGTTGGCTTTTAAATGTAAGAATGGAATATAAACACTTACATTCACCTACGTGACAGAAAATAAATCAGTAGTTGTGGTATTTTATGTGTGATCCTTTAAATAAAAGAAAACTTACATAATATTTAAAAATATGTATGAAATATATACATAGGCAAATACAAGAATATATATCTTTATATATAGGCAGTATAATTAGCTCTCTCACACATATAAAATATAAAGTAGCAGTCATATTCCATATAAAATTTTATGCTTTTCTCTTTCCCTTAGACATTATTTCATAGACATTACCATAAATATTTACAGTGTTCATCTTTATTGGTTTAAATGCCCACTGAATATTTTATTCAATGGGCAATTTTCTGCCCCTGATCTGTCTCTCTCTTGGAGTAACTTGTGAGTCATTTGAAATAATCTGTATGAAGAGTTTTACACACTGAAAACCCTATACAAAAGGTTCTTATTTTTATACCAGGCTATTTCTTAATAGCCCATGATTTACTTAACTATTTCTCTGTCATGGGTTATCTAGAATATTTATAATTATGCATAGCATTGTGTCGCATTGTTTTAGAGTTTGAATGAAAGTCTTGAATCCTTGGGGGATTTAAAATAATGTTATCTACACATACATCATTGCATGGCCCTGTGTCATGGTTTGATATCTGTTATGATGATGCTCTTTCATTGCTTCTCCAGGCCAGGCTTCAGCAGTACATGGTCACAACAGATGAGCAACTTATATCACTCTCACATGCCATTAAGAACTGTCCTGTGATAAATAACTCTAGGCAGGAAACTCAGGCTTCAGCTTCAGAAAGGGAAGCCACAGATAGAAGAGTTGGGGACAGTCCAGGTAAGTAGAGTCTTATTATCCCAAACCATCATTAAACTGTTTAATGTCCTTAGAGCAGTGGTGGCGAACCTATGGCACATATGCCACAGTGGGCTGTTTGTAACATTGAAAGCTCTAAAAGATTCACCATCACTGCGTTAGAGTAACAGACAAACAAAACTCTGAATCCCTGAGCTTATATGGAATTATTGGCTGTTTAGGCATAGCTGTATTATCACTACTACAACTGTCACTACTTTTCCAGCTGATATTTATGAATGCTTTTTAAACATGTATTATCATATTTAATCCTTATGATAATCATATGAAGTGGATATGGTTGTTATTGTTATATAAGGAAACCAAGGCTTAGGGAATGTTGGAATTTAGCAGTCCCATGGATAGAAAGTAGTACAACCAAATACCTAGATGAGTAAGACTTTAGTGCAAACACTTTTAATCATGATGTCTGATACAGAAAGATAAGGGAGGTTATTAGAGAAAAATCCCTGAGTTTTGGAAATTTATAACTTTTGCTCAGATATGGTGATATTTTAAGATTCTTTCTTTATCTTGTATGCTTTCATGAACTATAACCTTAATAGGACATTGAGGGTTTTTCATTTTTTTTATTTTTAAGTAAATCTTTGGTGACTGTCTACAGTGTTTTATGTGTGTAGGATTTTTTCTTTCGCTAGATTCTAAGAAATGGCAGACTAAACTTTAACTTGCAAGAAGTAAATGCAGTGGGGAGGGCTCTGTTTTCTGGTGGGATATTGCTGTTAATATCTCTGACAAGTGTCAGTCCTTTACTGTTGTCTGAGTTAAGCTTCACTATGGAGAAAGCTTTTAGTTCTTCAAAGGTTAAAAAAGCTAGAAGTGAGTATATTATAAGGTTATTGTTAATTATCTTTATTGCTTGTGGAAAAAGTTAGAAAGATTTATGTAAGTGAAACCAGTTTAGCATCTTTCTGAGTCTTGGATTGTGTAGCCCTGTGTTAGTTACTTTTTTTATTGCTGGGACAAAATACCCAATGCCCAAAATTAAGAAAAGAAAGTTTTATTTAGCTTACAGTTTGTAGAGGTTTCAGTCCACAGTCAGCTGGCCTCAAGGCAGGGTGGCATGGCAGAGGGGCAATAGTTCATGATGGTGGAAGACAGCAAAAGCAACAGGACCAAAAAGGGGTAGGGAGAATAAGCCTCTTTTTCTCTCTTATATTTTAAGCAGGCTACCCGCTCTAGGGCAAGTGTAGCACTCACACCATTTCCCTGTCCTCCTTATGCACAGGCTGAGGATGTTTACAAAGTGAGGACTCTAGCCCCCCGTGGAGTCACTTAGTTAAATTTTGGAACTTCTCAAATTGACACAGTGACTCAACCATTACAACATCCTAGAGTATGGTCACTCTAGGGCATGTCCTCTACATCCTAAGATGTGAACTGCTGAGTCACTTAGTTAAATTTCTAAACTTCTCAAATTGACACAATGAATCAACCATTACAATATCCTAGAGCATAAATAGTCACTCTAGGGCATGTTCTCTACATCCTAGGATGTAAACTGCTGAGTCACTTAGTTAAGCTTCTAAAACCAAATTGATACAATGTATCAACCATTACAAAGGGGGAAAGGTTTATTTAGCTCACAGTTTGTAGGGGTTTCATTCCTAATCCACTGGCTCCACAGCAGGGTGGCATATGGCAGAGGGGCAACAGTTCATGGTGGCAGAAGACAGCAAAAACAAAGAGAGAGAGACAAGCTTTTTCTGTCCCTTAAATTGTATGCAGGCTACTAGGATTAGGGTGGTGCCATTCTAATCAGTGGACTGATGTAGCAATCACCCACCCTTCATCCCAGCATTGCAATATGATTCAGTCACATACTCTGGATTCAGCAACCTCCAAAACTGCATGAGGCTTTTGGGGGACATCTAGAGAGAAACCATAACAAACTCTTCCGCAGTACTATGGTGTAAGAGTATACCATCACAGTGCGTGAGGTGAAACTACAATGCCTTGTTTTGTGAAGAGTCTTGTATGTGGAGATCAGTATTCATATGTCCTATTTTTGCCATTTGGTTGCTGTCATGTCCATTAGAAAGCAAAGAATGAATTCTAAAGTGGCAGGCAAGAGTTTGTCGCTGGCTTTCTTTTTTATCACCTTTTATTACCCTTAGTTCTTTTCTCAGAAGTACCAACTTCTTGCCAGTGCTGTCTTTGCAGACGTCTGCCTATGAATTATTGGCAAAGGAGGAGGTAGCCTACAAAGTAAAGGCTGGGCCGGGGATATAGCACAGCGGCACAAGCGCCTGCCTGGCAAGCACAAGGTCCTGAGTTAGATTCCCAGCACCAAAACAAAAGAAAAGAAAGTGAAGGCTCTGTGGTTCTGTTAGGGTTTATATCTGACGTCCCTGCAAAGCCTCGTGTGTGCAGAGTGAGGCTTTGGAGGACAGGGAGCTACAGCGGGCTTGGTGTGGGGAGGAGTGGCCCGATGGGGAGAGCTGGTCTCAGGGATGTGCCGTGGAGTCCCCATCTGCCCCTCCAGCTCCTCCCTTAACTCTGCTTCGGGGCTGTCATGATGCGAGCTGCTTCCTTCCCCACCAGGCCCTTCCCCCGTGCTGCCCTGGAACCAGCTGGCTCTGGATGGAACCCTTAACAGCTTGAGCCAAAATAAACCTCTCTCCCTTTAAAAATTGTGGGTGTTGAGTATCGTGTCTCACTAATGAAGAAAGTGACTAAGATGAGTCATCTGGATTTCGCACTCTACTGAAAGGCACTTGGGAATACATACCTGAAATGTGCCCACACTCGCTTTTGTTCCTTGCATATGAACACCCTCTTTTCTTCTACAGAGGCTCCTGTTGGAAGTTCCAATGTGCCCATGCCATTGAGGTTCAGAGGGGAAGAAGTGGTTGATTTCCTACAGGAAGAGTTGCCTGTTAAACTGTCTCAGATGCCAAACCGCCCTGACAGTACACATCTGGCCAGCAGTTTTCCAGCACATGTCTTCGAGCCAGCTGTGTTGTTAACACCACCCAGGCAGAAGAGCAGTGCGGAACTCCCTCCTCTGCAGGATGGTAAGCAGGCTTCTCCTGAAGTTGTTCTGTTCCACCTCTGTAAGGTACTGGGTTTACTATTACCTGAAAAACGTAACTGAAAAAGACATCGATAACTGCCTACAACCTTTCAGCTGAAGGATGCATTTTCAGGGTGACTTGTACTAGTGTTTCATTCTGATATAATAAAGTGTGACATTGTACATATGTTCTACTGAACATTGTAAATATTAAAGTCAGATCAAAGGATCAAAGTGCAGAGCATGAAGTTGCGGAGTTAGAGGAATTCTCTTTGTCCCTATTGTCCTGGAATATATGAAAAAGAAACAAGAGGAGATTATGCTCCAGAGAATAAGGAAAGTTTGGGCAGGGAAAGATGAGAACTGTGACTTTAGGATTTTGTAAGTCAGATCTGATCATCATACTAATCACTTTCTCATCACAAGTTTTCAGATCAGTTGAGGGAATTTTATAACAAAAGTAGACAAATAGTTAAAGAGTTAGAATTAGACATGTGTAAAGTTTTAAATAAAACACCAAACTATTTTCCTGATCCTTAGCTCAGATGATTCATGAATGGCCTTCCAAACTTCTATAGGCCTCTTCACTGTTGGAAAGAGAAATTATTGGTCCATATGTGTGTTTCCTGGAGCTTTTTCTTTTATCTGCAGAGGGTCCTTCAGTTTGAAAAAAGTTAAAAACTACTTAGACACTTCCTTCTCCAGACATTTTTTGAAAAATAATATTCAGCTCTGATTTCCCTGAGTTTTTATTTCTTTAAAAAATTGTTTATATTCTTCCATAGCAGAACAGAAAAGTAACTTTGGTTGTCATTGAGGCACAAAATTTTGTAAAATTTTCTGCATTAGTATATGTTTCCCATATAGGACATGAAAGGCCATAAGAGGTTAAAGGAAATGTCAAATCCTTGTTATTAAAATTTTGCATTGATGTCTGTAATGCAAATATAATGTCTGTCAGACCAGTTTGGTGTAGTGGAGACAACTCCAGGCTGAGCGTCAGAAGTGCTGGCCTGCCTATCACTGACTACCTTAAGATACTGACCTTTTTTTCTGGATCCTAGTTGTCTATCTTTTGCACAAGAGGGTTTTTCCTTAATGTCTTTTCTAGCTCTCCAATTCTATGATTCACAATTTCCCCTTCAGAGGGCTGGAAAGTGTTATCAACTCTGGCTAGATTAAGGAACTATGCTTTCAATTCAGGTTAGATTTTTTCATTTTTTAAAGTAATTGTTTAAATGTTGTGCTGTTATTAAGAAGCTTTATAATGATCTCTTGTGAAGTATTATAAAATATATCTCACTGGTGGTAATAAAAGAGCTTAAAATTATTTCAAAGAAACAATCACAATAAATATTTTTACTCTGCAAATATACTAAGGGCCCATTCAAGCAAGTAATGTCAAGGACTGCTATAGGAAACATGTTAGCATTTTCAGTAGGTTCTAATAATGACTACCCATTTTGTTTATAATGCACAGTAGAAGTGCCTTTGAATATGTATTTTGAATTGATGACACTGTATTTTTTAAGCATTATGTTTGGAATACTCACATGTGAATTATTCAGTTAAACTGAATATGCAAATGAAGATAGAAGATACATAGGGCTTTTCATCAGCATTCAGAAGCCTCACCCTTCTGTTGACATACTTTTCTAACTACCATGATGGGCTAATGAGATCATTTGATACCACTCTACTAGAAAATAACACATGTTTATTATTACTCTACAGTATTGAGGAGGACTGTTCAAACTCGTCCTGCTCCACCAGTTCTTCCCACTGTGGAAATAATGGAGAAGGAACAAAATTGGGAAAAGAAGACCATACCTGTTGATACAGATATTCACAATTCAAGTGAGGAGAATCGACTCTTCACTCAGAGGTGGAGAGTCTCTCACATGGGAGAAGATCCGGACAATAAAACCCAGACACCTTTTGTTAACCTCTCACAGCCCCTCTGCAATTCCCTTCCCAATGTTCAACAGTTGAGAAACCCTGCATTCTCAGAAGAGCTCCTGCCGCTGGGAGATGGCCAACAGCTTAGAACAGCGGAGGCATCGATACAAAGAAAGGACATAATGGCACGGATTGCCGAGTTGACGCTGCAGAATTCAGCTAAGACCCATCTCAGTAATACTAATGGGTCAGGAGCAGAACTAGGGGACGGACTGAACAAACAGGAAAGTGCTAATGCCACGACTGCTGTGAGTACCAGTTAAGGATCAACTAGGGACATACAGGAATTTAAGCTTCACTTCTGAAGAGAGATCTTTGCAGAAGTGATAGCTTTGAGGCTGCCACTAGATAGCTTATGCTTTGGCATGTCTTCATCACCAAGATAGGTGAAAGTTATTTATTAGTTTATATTGCATATACAATAAGAAGACAACATGAAAGAAAAAATACACGTGAGGAAAATAGGTCTAAAATAATGTGTGCAGGAAAGCTAAGATTAAATTAGGAATGAAGTTTTAAGTGAACTATGTAATAAGCAACTACATTTTAGTTGAAAGTATTTTTCCTCCTAAAGTGGATCATACAAGAACAGTTGGCCCTTAACTCATGAACAGTTAATATTTTAGAACACAGAATGCATTTTCCCATGGAAACAATTCTTCAGAAAGGATCATTAAAGTCAGACTTTAAAGTACATACAAATCATCTGAAGACCTTGCTCTAAGTCTTGGGTAGGACCTGTGCATTTCTAATAAGTTTCCCAATGATGCCTCTGTCACTGAGGGCCATATTTTAAATAGCAACCATCTGCATATTACAGAACATGAATTTTATAAGTTAAGTAAACTTTGTGGGCTTGAAACCTTCCTTTCATTGTTAGGAGAAAAGGGATTCCAGGTTCCAAGTGGGAGTGCATCTAACATGCTTTCTCGGGCAGACCCTACTGATAGGAGACACTTTCTTTTGTACCCTTCTTGAGCTAGGGGTGTTCCTGTGAGGGTTCTGATGGGGAACAGGACAGTGTTCAGTGTGGGAAGGAGCTGGGCGCCTCACCTGGATTAGATGCACTTGAGGTGGCTTTGTCCATAAGAGCTGCCCAAATACTGAATTAAGGTCTCGCTGAGGACCACTGGGGGAGGGAGGGGTAGGAGCCACCTGTTAGCACTGGCTCATGGGGAATGAAGGTAGTGTGGTATCGAGTCACAGAATGCGAGTTAGAGGGACTGGCAGAGGAGGAGCCAGGAAGATTGGGCAGCAGCTGTTGATGGGGCTGTAAATGTCGCAGTTTTGAGTCACTGGGAGACAGCTATGTTTGCAGTTTTGAAGATTGTTTGAAACAGATAACTCTTAGATTTAAAAAAAAGACAACACAGTTAAGTGTTGAGCATGTGTTCTTTTCTAATGAGTGCATCAGTCTAGAAAGGACAGTTTATCCTGTTTTAATTGAAAATATAGAATGATCTTTAATTCATACTATTTTGCTTATCTTAAAAAAAAAACTAGTAAGAACAAGCTATACATTAGTAATTTCTGTTAGGGATTGGCTTTCTATTTCCCCAAAGGGACATACTTAATGAAATTATTGGAATTGACAGAAGTACATTTTCAAATTAAACTTACATTCCTGGGGGAGCTATTTTTTACTCTTATGCCCCAATTGCAGCTGTTTTTGAGGAGATTATCGTAGGCTAAATGTAGCCTGGAGAGGCTGATACGTCATCAGAAGGGGTGACGGGGTTCTCATGGTGCCGAGTGACTCACGGTGCCTGATTGAAGAGTGCAACTATGGAAACATCTGTTTCAAATACAGCAGATCCTTTGTAATCTGTCCAACTTCAGATCTGTCATCAGTAGGTGTGTGGCAGAAGTCATCTCTTTGCTCCTGAGCTCTTTTGTACAGCTCTGCAAATGCTAAGCAGTGTAGCCTTTGACCGTGTGCTCAGTCAAAGGTACCACAGTGTGTGGCGACAGCAGAAGAATTAGTATCCTTTTACTCTACTCCTTCCTTCAGTTAAATGATTTGTAGGTCCTATTGTTTGCTCACTGTTTGCATTTGTTTATAACAAGGGATATGACTGTGAATTTGCCGGCCCCTAGTAGAAAAGGCAGAATTGAGTGGTGCTTTTTCCAGTATTGAATTTATGCCCTTTTTCCCCTCCAAAGACTTTTCCAGTCGCACAGTCTGTAACCCCAAGCAGCATGGAGGAGCGGATTGCAGAGTTGAATCGACAGAGTATGGAGGCCCGTGGAAAACTATTACAGTTGCTAGAGCAACAGAAACTTGTTGGCTTGAATCTTTCCTCTCCACCAGTGTCGCCTGTTCAGTCGCCTCTCAGAGCATGGACTGGTTGGTCACAAACCCATGACTTAAAAACTAGAAATATGAAGGTTTTCACTTTCTAAATTTTGCAAGTTCGTCATAAGTATCATTTCAACCCTGTCTACTCTCAGGATATGTTGAGTTCTAAGTGAAATAACAGAAATAAAAGCATTTGTTAACCTTACAGAATTCTTCAGGCAAAAAATATCATAGTTAATCACAAAACTACACTTGTGAGTGAGCTAGCTGCTTAATGTTTTTTCATTGCAGCTAGCACTGACATCTCATATATGTATTAGTTTGGTGTTTGTTACCGGGCCCCCAGTATGAATGCTGGGGTACTCCAGACCATATATGGCAGGCACACGGTAGTAATCTGCCAGTGAGAGTTTTTGCCTATTAGGAATTATTTTGGTTTTGAAAATATTTACCCAGAAAGCAGACTCCTTGAAATTACTGGGTGAGTGATGGGCAATATATTTCCCCTAAGGACTTCCTCTGTGTTTATTCTAGGGTTCTTCACATGACAGCTTTGTTCTTCATAGTCATGATGTCTGTTGCAAAGCCATGATGTCTAGAGAAAATTCTGATTTGCATAAACATATTAAATTACTCCAATGTGGATGAACATTACCTTGTGCCTGCCATATATGGTCTTTTCTTTTTGCCATATATGGTCTTATACCTACTTAATAAGTAGGCAAGCTGAGGCATAGAGAGGTTAAGTAATTTTCTGAAATTCAAAGCAAGTTGTAGTTTGCACGTGTGTTCTTTCCATTCTGGTGGCTCTGTCTCCTAAAGTATTCTTTTTTAAGTAAAACTCTCGGTTTCATAGTAGGCTCTATGGGGAATAATGATAAAAATAAGAATAAGGCATATACATGAAAACCCTCTTTTATTTTCTAGTGTAACTAAGGAATATTTTATTTTTTTATTTTTTTATTTTTTTTGGTATCAGAAATAGAACTCATGACCTCAGGCTTGCCAGGCAAACACTCATGCCGCTGAGCTATATCTCTGGCCCATTAAGGAATATTTTATAAAATTAAATGAGATATAATTTCCTTAAAGCCAGGAAATCACTGGTGGGTTTTTGTTGTTATCATTTTGATCTTGTTTTTTTTGATACAGGGTCTCACTGTGTAGCTCAGGCTGGCTTTGAACTCACTGTGTAGCTCAGGCTGGCCTCAAATGCATGGCAATCCTCCAGCCTCAGCCTCCCAGGCTGATATTACAGGTGTGGGCCCCCACACCTAATTTAAGAAATTACTGATTTTAAGCAAAGATTCATGGTAGCCTCTGTGAAACTGCCAGGGATAGACAGCAAGTCTTTCATTAGTTAATAATTAGTGAATATGTGCTGATTGATTACTTCTAAAACTTTTAAAATGCATATTATGATACTTACTTTTGGCCAAATGAGTGCTTCAACCAACTTTCCCCTCATACATTAGTCTGTTAGTAATGGTAATAATGTAATAGATTTGAAAGATTGAAAGTTTTATTGAATTTCTTCAGAAATCTTCTCCCCCTCCTCCTTTCTTTTAAACTTTAGATATCTTTCTTTGGACAAAGATCTCAGATTCTTCAGAGCAGTCTCTTACCTTCTGTTTCTCACTTCCGGATCTGACACGATAGCACTTGTCTGAAGGCCCTGGCTCTCTATGAACGGGCATGCTACTGAACTGACACTAGTAACTAAAGTTGCACGGTTCATTTTTCAAAAAAATCTTGCAAGTGCGTCTGTGGGCCATAATGATAATAATACTGAAAGAACCCCCCATTTGTAAAATAAGATTGAAATTGAACAAAATTTTTATCTTATGGACAAGTAATGAAACTGTTTATTTTTTTAAAAATTTAGAAGGTGGAAAGAGGACCATTGACGTATGTGTACCAGGAGCAGAAGCCCCAGAAAGCTCCAAAGGCAATACTGTCTCTCCTGTCAGCGGGACAAATACAAGAAGGTAGGGCTACAGTGTGAGCAGTTTCTTTAAAAATCAAGAATGTGGTGTGGATTTCATTCTCTTTGTGATAAAAGGATGTGCATAATATCTAATTTAAGATCAGAAAGACTCATAAAGAGCAAATAATTGGAGAGGAGAACTTGGAGGGAGGAAGGTGAGTGAAGAATAAGGTTAAGTAGAAAATTATGGGTTGGCTACTGAAAACAAAAGTGGGCTAACCACAAATGTAGAGTATTTATGAGTTACAAAATTAGGAGATAATAGACAAGATGAGTAAATTGGCTGGCAGTGCTCCTGTACAGTAGGTGAAACCGCAGCTCACAGAGCTGAGTGATTCACCAAATGGGTCGCATGGGTGGTGAGTGGTGACATTACAGATGTACCTGTGTTTGTGCGTCTGCCTTCTCACATGCTCTGCGCTGCTCCAGCTCTCACCATTCTTCCGCTGTCCTGACCTTACCCACCAGTGCGTACCCACTCTCCACTTCAATGTCAGAAACTTTTCTGTACGATACTTGTCTTGGTTCCTTTTCTCTTGTTGCTGAGACAAAATACCCATGCCCAAAATTAAGGAGGGAGAGGTTTATGTAGTTCACAGTTAGTGGAGGTTTTAGTCCACAATCAGCTGGCTCCAAGGCAGGGTGGCGTGGCAGAAGAGCAACAATTCATGGAGGCAGAAGACAGTAAAAGCAGCAAGAGCAGAGGGGAAGCTGAGCAAGAGAAGACTCTTTCTGTTCCTTATATGGTACGCAGGCTACCCACCCCAGGGCGGGGTAGGGCTACCCCCCTATAATCCCAGCCCTAGACAGTGAATCAGTCACAAACTCTAGAAGCTCACCCCCATGACTGCATGAGACTTGGGGGGGACATCTGGACACAAACCATAACAATACTATAATGGCAGGCACATTTGTCCAGATCCACAGAATGTGTCACATGAACAGTGAACCCTAATGGAAAGCATGAACTTTAGTTAATGTGTTGATACTGGATCATTGGTTGTAACAGATGTGCCACACTAATGCAAGATGTTAATTGGGAAGACTGTTGAGGTAGAGCTGCAGGGATGTGAAGTGTCTGGACTTTCCACTTAGTCTTTCTGTGAACCCACACACACACAGATGTAGGTTGGTGAAATTGTGTTACAAATAATTTTCCTAATTTGGACCTAAGTCAGCCATTGTTTTGCAAGCTCTTTCCAGTATTACGAATTGTCATTGCTTGCATAATTTGTGAAGACTAATATTAGCTCATTCTTGTTATCTTTTTATTTTCATAAATAGATCTTCAGGGGCTACTAGTAATTCTTGTTCTCCCTTAAATGCCACCTCAGGAAGCGGACGACTCACACCTATTAATCCGAGAACAAAGGTACCTTATAAAATGTAACTGTGAAATGTGTGTAGGGGTCATGAGCATGAGGGTGGAAGGTGACTGATTTTAGTGATTTCCTTTCTTAGCTATTATTGCTGGTATCCCGAAGGTGATATAAAATCCTCAACAAAAAATACTATAATTCACTTTCATTAGAAAAACTAACTAAAGAATAAGGTAAAATTTAATAAGATTTTGAGTCTTTTAAGACTGGAAATTACTGGGTTCACGCAGGGCTTCCCAAAGACTGTGGCAGGACATACAGGTGTGCCTTGAATGGGGTGTAGGAGTACCGAGATGTGGTTTCCCCACCCTTACTGTGACTGGTTGGAGTGTGGGTCCAGGAGTTTCCTCCCGGTGTGCCAGGCTATGGCCTAGAGAGCACACAAATGTCTCGTGTGTTCTTCATGGTACCTATTGTATGTTACAGTGTTGCAGGAATGTGTAGGAGCTCAGCATTTCAGGGTATACCCAAAATTTTACAGCAGGCATTTTAATTTTAATTTTTTTTTGTAAACAATAGCTCTTTTTAGTGTTTTGTCATAGGAAAGTGTGAGGCTATCTTTAATATTGTAAAAACTACTTTTGTAGGCCCAAACCAACAACTGGCTGATGTGGGGGAATCTTTGCTAGTTTTACTAATTAGATCAAAGAGTGGGTGCATAGAGCCCAAATGAAGAGGCTTAGCTGTTCTTACTTGCCTAGCACTAGATCTGTCTTTTGTTATTTCTTATATTCTTAAAAGGCTCCCAGATTAGCTATTTTATATAATTTACCCTTCGTTCCAGGCAGTTAGTACCATTTAATTAATGAATTAAATTTTGGGGGGTACTGGGAATCAAACTCAGGACCTTGTGCTTGCCAGGCAGGCACCTGTGTCACTAAGGTATATCCCCGGCCCTATCCTTTCTTTTAAAAAGGACAAATCCAGTGGTGTAAAGGTCCAAAGTTTTAAAATGATAAAAAGAAGTTATTTCATCTTAGTAAATTAAATGTTACAGGGCTGGGGATATAGCTCAGTGGCACAAGAGCCTACCTGGCAAGGCTAAGGTCCTGAGTTTGATTCCCAGTACCAAAGAAAAAACAAAACAAAACAGAAGAGAAGAGAAGAGATAATCTTTAATCAGTAAGGAGGCCTGTTGAGCCGGTAACGTTATTTGGTACTATCTGTGTTAGAGAAGAAGCATGACCACTACCACTCAGTGACACCAGATGACTTTGTTGTATCCTTTGTATAAACGATCTGTAAATGCTGAGCGGTTCATGTTCCTGGTTATCTTCTAAATCCGTTCTGCATCTTTGTTCAACAGATTGAAAAACAAAATGAAGAAGGCTGGTTTGCTCTTTCTACCCACATGTCATGAGTGAAGTTGAAGTCCCCTCTTACAGAGCTTGTTCTGGGTACCTTATCGCTGACTGTCCACTCCCCTTTTCCTGCTCCTGCTGTCCAGTTTTTACCCCTTCTTCAGATAAAACCTGCAAAGATCCTGTGAATTAATGCTAATGGAACAGAAAAAAAGAATTATTTTATTTTTTACCTTTTCAAGTAAGTTTTCAACAACCCATCAGCCTTATAATTCCTTATGAATAAAATTTGGCTGCAGGGAAATGAACGTTTTATATAATAATAATTTCTAAAATATTTTTAAAGTAATACAATTTTACCTTCATCTTTATTTAGGTTTTTTGTTGTTGTTTAGTGCATCTTAAATGTTGATCTGTTTCTTTTTTTTTTCCTGAAAGACTGAATTGTTTTGTATATGCTTGCAATACAATGCCCCTGTGTGATTAGTCTGGTTTTCAGGAAAATATAACACCTTTGGTTTCTTTGGTGGTGGGAAATTACTGCTGCCAAGTAGAATGTACAGCTTGAAAACTTCGGTGTGTAAATGTTTATATTTGCTTAAGGACTTAAGAATGATTGTGTAAATTCTGAGAATCTTGATTTAGTTTTTAAATGTGAAAATATCAAGAATGATAATGTACATCAAATAAATAATGATCACAGAACTCAAATGTCTAAACGTAGTGAATGACTTAAGGGTATATTTAGTGTTTGAAACAGAATTACTGAAATACAAAAACTTGCTATCGATTTTCCCAGTTCAGAATCTAAGCAGATTGGAAGGATAGGTTTTTCTTTTCGGCACCTGCTTGGTTCACAAATGTCAGTTTCGATTTTCAAATTGCTTTTTGAATAATCTCTGGCCCCTGACTCAAAGAGAGGAGCTTTCCGCTTGAGAGGCCGGAGTGCGGGAGTGCGGAGGGGCAGCGCCTTGAAACCCCTGGGCAGCTTCTCGGATGCCACCTTCCGTCCCTCTGGAGTTGTGAGTCACTGGTCTAGGAAGTGCCTGATGCAGCTTTCTCTTTGGCCTTTTCATTTTGAAAAAATAATTTCCTCCTAGCACTGCTGATTGAATAATGCAAGTCATCTTGCATTATTGGAGATTCTTGCGTCTATATTGCAGTTTTACCTTTTGAAACTTGGTGTTTAATAAATTGTATCCCTGTCTATGATATAAACCGTTGTAGTGTTACTCCTTATGAAAATCCCGTTTCCCACTTGTTTTGGGAATGCATTCTTTTTGAGATGCATTTTCCTTCATGGTTTTCAACCGATCAGCCCTTTATCTCCCCCTCCCCTATTGCTTCAAACTTCAAAATCCATTACAGTTAACTTGGGAGCTTTTAAGTACCAAATGACCCCGGGGCTGAGCCCAGCAACCCAGAAGCTCATAGCCTACAGCCTTATTTGCGCTTTAAAACTGACAGAGATTTTAACGTTTAAAACCCACCGACCAACCAACCAACCAACCAACCGCAAAACCGCACTATAACCTCTCCCCCACGTCCCACCCCGGGGTTTATCCTTGGGTACTTTCGGTCACGAAAACAGCAACCTCTAACCCCAGCTCCCCGGTCTTTAAAATGTTGACAAAGAATGCTTGCTTAGGAGCTTTAGATTTCAAGTTAAAACTTCCCAAGGCAAAGCTGCGGCTGCGATTGGGGCCCCTCCGCGCCGCTTTGGCATATTAGGCAGTATGTATTTTCTCACGTATTCAAACGTCACTTAGCCACCAACCTGGCGTCCTTTAGTGGACGGGGAGCCGGCAGAACGCGGCTTTCCCGCTTTGCAGTGAACACAGGCGGCCAGGTCACGGGAGCTGGATGGAGCTCACACCGCGCTGGAGCTCACACAGGCGGTGGACTGCGCATGTGCCTCACACCCGCCCAGCTCCTCTCCGGCTCCCCGGAAGCCGTGGCGTTGCCATAGTAACCACCGTAAACTATTCGCGGTGTGCTGCGAAGACAGGCTGGTATCTTGGGTAAGTTTGGGCCCCTGCAGCTGGGCTCTCCCGCTTAATTCTGCTAGTGACTCACCAGTGGAACCCGCTAGGACTTAGCTGAACTAACCAGTATTCCCCAGATTTGGCTGAGCCATGTATCTTCTTCCTCCCTGAGGTAGTCGGACAAACGTTTCAGGCCAGGAGACTAGTGTAGGACAGTCACTGTAGGCACAGCTCCTGCCTGCAAAGACTCGCAGTCTGACCCCAAAAGGCGGCAGGCAGCAGGCAGCGGGAGAGCGAGTTGGCTGGGGAGTCCCGTGGGAAAGTGCGTGGGCTCCGGGATCAGCAAAGCCACCCTTTGCCATACTCAGCTGAACGCCATGCGTGGCAGGTTGACTCCTCTGCACTTGTTTCCTTTTCTCTATAAAGGAAGACAGCAATGCTTACCTCATTGTAATTGTAATTAAACAGGATAATGCAGACCAAATGCTTAACACGTATAGGGCACTTGGTGAACGATAAATATTTGTGTAATGAATGCTCAAAAACAGTAGCATACAAGTGCTCAGTCAAACATGCCTCGTTCTGTGTACCCCACTGGCTAAAACTTTTGAGAGGCAAAGGCTAAAGAGGGACTAGGGACAGAGAGGGAGGGGAAGTGAACTACCTGCCCTATGATGAGGGACTTTAATGCTATGCCAAGTAATAGTGTAAAACCTCAGTTATTTGAGTTCGTATTTAATGGACATGAGGAGCCGTGAAAGATTTTAAGCCAGAAGAGAGACACATTAAAATATTCCAAAAATACAAGGAGCAGGGTGGAAAGTGGTAGAGAAAGGAGAGACCAGGTATGAAGCTCTGATAATGGCTGAGATTGGGCACAAGGAAAATCAGCTACAATGGTGACAGCGGGACCAGGTAGGAGGGGACACATTAAAAGAACTTAATAACAAGATCTTGGAAATCAGCTGTGTGAATTGGGTGAGAGGGAAGGATTCAATGAATAACTGCTTATCTGTAAAATGTGATAATTATAATATGATAGTAGTATCTGCCTCATGATGCTGTTTTAAAAATATGTGCGTAGAACTTGCTCCACATGTGGTAAGCATTTAAAAAACATATGCAGTTATTATTTTTTCTCCAGTTTGCAAAGTCAGTACTGAGTCTTTTTTAACTGGACAGCCCAATGAGTTGATTAAGAGAACTGACCACAGATTAACAAATGACCCTGAGACTCCCAAGCCTAGCTAGGAGAGTTGTGTAAGTTAGGACATGATGTGGAAGGCACAAATAGACATGAATCTTTACACAGAACACCCAAAAATTGCACCAGAAGACTCTTAGAACTAATAAACAAATTTAACAGAATGGCAGGATACAAAACAGATGCACAAAGAGGAATAATGTTTCTGTACACCAAAAATGATACTACCAAAAGAAAAAAAAAAAAACAAAACAGGCAAACAATCCCATTCACAGTAGCTTCAAAAAAAACTTTAAAAACTTAGGAATTACCCTAACCAAGAAAGTGAAAGGCCTGTATAATGAAAGCTATAGTACTCTGAAAAAAAGATTGAGGAGGACATAGTCAAAATGGCCATAGAACCAAAAGTGATACATAGATTTAATGCAATTCCAATCAAAATGCCAACAGCATTCTTCATAAAACTAGAGAAAGAAAATCCCCAAATGTGTATGGAACCAGAAGAGACCTAGAATAGCCAAAGTAGTTGTTACAGTTTAGATCTAAAACATGTCCAAAGGCCTCATGTCTCATAGACAGGGCTTTTGGAAGAGGGTTAGACCACGGGGTGCTGTCCTTGACTTGCTGTTAGGAGGTGGAGTTTGGTTGGAAGAGGAGGGTCACTGGCGGCTTGACCTGGACGGCGGATCTCCCTGCTCCTCCCTTCATTTTCTCTGCTTCCTGGCCACCACGATGTGAGCGGCATCTGCTCAGGCCTTTCCACTGTTCCACTGACTGCAAGGACTGAGACTTCTACAATTGTAAGCTAGAGAAAATCTCAACCCCTTTAAGCTGTGGGCGTCATGTACTGTGTCTTAGTAATGAGAAAGTCAAGAAGTCAGTAGTCCTGAGCAAAAAGAGCAAAGTAGGAGGCATGGCAGTCCTGGATTTTAGCTTATACTACAAAGCTATAATAACAAAAAGAGCATGACACTAGTGCAAAAATGGACCTGCTGACCAGTGGGTTAGAACTGAGGATGTAGAAACAATGCCGTGGTCCACCAGCCATATGAGTTTTGACAGAAGGACTGAGAATGTGTGCTGGAGAAAAGACATCCCTTTAACAAATGATGCTGGGAAAGCTGGTTATCCACATGCCAAAGACTCTAGACCCATATCTCTTTCTCTGTATTCAATGCTAAGTGGATCACAGGGCTACATAAAAAACAAAAACACTAAATTTGCTGGAAGATAAAATTGGTTAAACTCTTGAAGACAGAGAGACATAGGCAGGGACCTTCTTACTAGGACCCCAATTGCACAAGAAATAGTACCAAGGATCAACAAATGGGGTCATATCAAATTAAAAGGCTTCTGCACAGCAAAGAAAACCACCAACAGGGTGAAGAGACAACCTACAGAATAGAAAAACAGATTACTAGCTACTCCTCAAACTGAGGACTAGTATCTAAAATATATAAAGAACTAAAAAAAGTGAGATCCCCTAATCAAAATGATTAATTGAAATGAATATGTGTTTCTCAAAAGAAGAACTATAAATGGTAAATAATCATATGAAAAAAGTGTTCAGCCTCTCTGGCCACTAGAGAAAAGCAAATTAAAACAGCACTGAGATTCTGTCTTACTCCAGCAAGAATGCTTATCATCAAGGGTTCAAAAAACAATAAATGCTGGCAAGGTGGAGAAAAAGAAACCCTTCTACAGTACCTGTGGGACTGCAAACTAGTGTAACAACTGTGGAAATCAGTGTGGAGATTCCTCAAAAACTAAAACTAGAAATCCGATTTGACCCAGCAATTTTCCTTCTAGATATCTTCCTGAAGCAGTTAAGGACATCGTATGACACTGTTACATGCACAGCTATGTTTAAGCAGTGCAATTCATAATAGCTAAATCTTGCAAGTGGCCTATGTGCCCATCAGCAGATGAATGGATAGAGAAAATGTGGTATTTATACACAATGGAGTACGATTCAGCCATAAAGGAATCATTCATAGGAAAATAGAGGGATCTTGAGATTATCATAGGAAGTGAAAGAAATTAGATGTAGAAGGTTAAATATCACATGATTTCTCTTATGTAGGAATCTAAAATATAATTTAAATAGCGAAAGTGAAATGATAGGAAACATGGAGGGAGATTTTGTGGAGATGGGAAGGGGAATTGGGGAAGGGAAACAGTTGGGCAGGGGTAACGGGGAGTAAAATGATCAAGCTGAGCTTTGGGGCATGTACTGATTCCCCCAGTGTGAATATAATTATCATATATTGCAATATATGATATATCATATATCATATATTGCAAATTATCATATATTTCTACTGATAAGAAAAAAGAAAAAAAGACACAAATGAGTTTAGTCATTTTAGTTGATTATAGAGTGGTTGTACTGAGTAAAGAGATGATACTCCTGTGTGCCTCTACCTCCACAAACGCTATCTGGGTCCTTAAAGGAATACAGTGAATGTCCTCAGCATGTGAACTGACCAGGTGAAGTGATAGTTCCTTCCTTCTGTAAAGTGTCCAGACCTTACAAAGAGATACAACATGGAAAGGCACATGTGAAGCATTGGGAATGAGCTTATCGAGTTGTGTGTGACATGTATTTTGTGGGAGGCTGAAGTAAATAAAACTTCAACTTTGAAATAAATAGATAAATTATTTATTTAAAGATGGAGTGTCAGTGTGTTGCCCGGGCTGGTCTTGAACTGGACTCAAGGGATCTTCTTGTTTCAGCCTCCTAAGTAGCTAAGATTTTAAGAATACATCACTGTAGCCAGCTCGTGATCATAGTTATTGAGCCTGTCCCATATTAAAAAGAATTACCTGGTAGTAATAGTAAAAACAGCTGTCATTCCTGAGTACCTACTACATGTTTCATGTAAATCCATGGTTCTTAACGTTAGTTCATATACCTGGCTACACAGAGGAATTGCCTGGGGAGTAAGACTGTGTTAATGGTATTTAAAAAAAAATTTTTTTCCAAGTGATTCTAAAGTGCAGTCAGAGTTGAGAACTACAGATACATGGCATCTCATTTAATATTTACAACAACTGTACCAGACAGCAGTATCACCCTCATTTCACATATGAAAGGACTAAGATGTTAACAAACTTATGCCTTGGCCAAGCTTAAGGTGAACCTAAGTTTCTTTGGCTCCAGAGCTTTACAAATTACAGTGCAATTTCTCAGTCTCCTTGATCTAGACAACAACAACACTGCCAAAACAAAAGCAAACAAAGATCATTAGTTCTACCACTGATCTCGAGGAGCACAGGAGCTTCTTGCCCCTGATCTATGCAACTGCTTTTTACAGATTCTTCAGTCACCCTTTATGACCCAGAAAAACTAAAAAAAGAGTAGTCTCAGTATTTATTGTCCAGTATTGCCACTTTTGAACACTTGTGTACTATACACACCCTGACATTAACTGGTTTGTGACACTGAAGTTTATTGCATGGTGTATTGACCATTGGAGGAACAAACTATTTTAGTGAAGATTAAAGTGTGTCTTTTTCTTGACATCAAGTTACATTTTGTTGTGATTTAACTCCTTTGTTTCTAGAGCGCTTAGTTAACCATAATTGTTTTACCCACCTTATGATTATCTTGTGAATAAATTCATTAGATCTTATGGGCTTTTTCATTAGACTTTATATTTAGATTATATTTAGTTATCGTATGTTAAAATAAATGTATTTATTTAAAACTAAAAGATAGAAAGTGATCTCATGAAGCTTTTGGTTTGAGAGAAGCAGGAAGGAAACCTATGAGTTTCAAACTATTGAGAGATGTTTGGCTCATCCAACTCTTGGGTTTAAAGAGGGCCAT